TTGCTGCTGAGTATATATGTAAGGGGTCAGTCGTAAGAGCAGGATGAATCGATCGGAAGAAAACCCCGGAGGTTAAGACTCGAGAACCGAAACTCCTGTCCCCATTTGCTTGGTATTCCTTTCATTCTGTATCTGTTGTTTAATTGTTTATTAAATATAAGAGAATAATGATGTCGATGTTGGATTATTTACACCACGGGGTTTTCCTTGAAGGCAGCACACCAAGGGAGAGCACTCCTGCGAGTATAAACTGTTATGCTATAACGTTTATATCATTGTAACATCTAAGTAGTGGTACTTCTACTACTGCTGCTACTATTACTACTACTGCTACTACTATTACTGCTGCTACTGTCGCTGCTGCTACTATTACTACTGCTGCTACTATTACTACTACTGCTACTACTATTACTGCTGCTACTGTCGCTGCTGCTACTATTACCTCTTCTGCTGCTGCTACTACTACTGTTGATGCTGCTACCACTACTACGCTGATGCCACGACTACTTTTGCTGCTAATGCTACTACTACTACTACTGATGCTGTTGCTGCTACTGCAACTGCTACTATTACTACTGCTACTACTACTTCTACTGCTGCTGCTACTACTACGTCTACTAGTGCTGCTGCTACTACTGCAGCTGCTACGACTACTACTGCTGCTACTACTACTTCTACTGCTGCTGCTGCTGCTTCTACTACTACTGTTGCTATTTGCTAGCAGCCACGTTAACATTTTTAGACACGGGAATTGTGTAGACATAAACCTGGAACAAACAATAAGCCGTTATCACGTCGTGGGAAATAACACGTCGTCACTGTGCCGACAAATGACAAGCAGGGAGGTCTACATGGGGTATTAGATATAAATTAACAAGGATAGCATGGGTCCAGTTGACAAACCAGCATACTGGTGTTGTAATTATGAGTTCCTAGCGAGAGTGATCAATCTCATGCCCTGCCAATATAACAAACACAACTTCTAAATTCGATATAAACATTCTCACAGGTCGTTTTTTCCATTCAGAGCTCCTGACTGTAACAGGCATTGTGATCAAGCTTCTACCACGTACTAGTTGCTTTGATTAATGTGAGTTTGATGTCTGGTCACTGCGTGGTCATTACGTGGTGTTGTGGATTTCGGTTTGCGTGTCGATTTCATTTCCAAGTGGTCACTGCTTATTATTCCACGTGGTCACTGTTGGAGGTGTGTCCCGCAATAGCTGGTCAGAAACATGGTAATGACCGAGTTGATCGAATATAAGGGAACAAATACTGACTGACTGACTGAGTTTGGTTTTACGCCGCTTTTATCAATATTCCAGCAACATCACGGCGGGGGGACACCAGAAATGGGCTTCACACATTGTACCCATGTGGGGATTCGAACCCGGGCGTGACGAGCCAACGCTTTAACCACTAGGCTACCCCACCGCCCCAGGGAACAAAGAAGCCACATGTTTGCTGAGATTAAATGAACTACTGTTACGTTGTAATACTAGATGTATTGAAGGCTGCGTATTAATAGAAAGGGTAATTTGTGCAGTACTAATAACAAGACGGAGATTCACTATATATTTGAGTGTGGTGGATATGTGGCCTTACGAAAAAAGTACATACCAACTTTGGATCCAACATATTTGTAGAAGTTATCGAGTGTGTGAGTTTAGTTTTACGACGCTTTTAGCAACATTCCAGTGTTATCAAGGCGGGGTACACCAGAAATGGGCTTAACACATTGTACCTATGTGGGGAATCGAACCCGGGTCTTCGGCGTGACGAGCGGAGGATTTAACCGCTAGGCTACCCCACCGCCCCTCGTAAGTTATTGACATCATGCAAGTGATGTAATGATTCTTATCAAAAGGCCAAATTTGTTAAGGAAGCTTAAAAATGTAAATCTGCTTTTGATAGATAACTTGCCTATTGTAGGCACCTTCCAATTGCCATACACGCCTTGAGGTAACGATGACACGCCTTCACCACGCCTGACTACCCTAACCATTAAGTCCTGCTCACGACAAGCATTTGTGTCTGGGGACTTATCAGAGGGGCGGTGGAGTAGCCGACTGGTTATAGCGTTCACTCGTCACGCCGGGTTCGATTCCCCACAAGGGTACAATGTGTGAAGCCCATTGCTGGTGTTCCTCGCCGTTATATTGCAGTTATATTGCTAAAAACGGCGCAAAACTTTTAAAAAAGCCCCAACTAAACTCAGACACTCTAACCAGAATGTCCACGAGGCTCCTGATACTTATAATGACGATATTTGTCAAGTACAGCACTTGCCCATTCGCTTCTGAAATATACAGCAACTCTCAAAACAGTTTCGGTATTGACACATGAACAATATCATAAAATATGCCACTGGGTCCCCTTGAAAGCCCGATAGCAAGTCATATAACACCTATCACACTGTCCCAATATGATCCCTGTTAGTATGATCATATATGACGCTACATATATCAGAGATGGTTCAAGTAACAATGCTGCATGTCAAAGACGGTCACCCAGTTTGTCAACCTCTGCGTTAGACGAGACTGTCAATATATAAATTCATACGAACACACACGCCTTCCTTATCGGCCTGTACTACATCAAAGCCGGCCTGTAAGTGTTGAGGAGATAAGATTAAAGCATTGTACCGTACGAGAAGCCTTACATCACCTGGGGGAATGAATCATAAACATGTTGTCCGGGTCTACTAGCCCTACACAAACACGACTGTTCATCGATCCGATCTTGTACAAAACAAGGTCACGACAAACTGAAAACGTGATTGCCAATTTTATGGTTATACTGGCATCGATTTTGTTAATTGGAAATGTCAATACTTCGTTTTAATAGACCACGTCAAAATAGGTCTTTCTTCAAGTTCGATCTGCATTTTACAGTATGCGTCACAGACTATTGAACTATTCAGTATCCGGTACACATCTTTCCTATACTATTTTTCCTTTTTAAAACCTTTGTTTGGATTCTTGCTCCAAATGTTCAAATATGATTGTTTGATCAGAAATGAATATATTTTTCGAAAACTTCACGAAAAAGATAAGGACAAATGTCCAGTGTTGCCTGATGGTCAATTTTCTGTGTTTCGCAAATTGCCACAATCATCAAGAGAAGTACTTGTTTAACTCAGCCATAGTTGTCCACAATTCACCACAAAGCCTCTACACATTTATCCGAACCTCAAGCGTGTTTAGTTGGAACTTGACAGTGATATTTGAATAAAAAAGAGAAACAAAATTCAAACATTAAATCGGAATTTATGAATGCGAGAAGAATGAATGCTAATAAAATGACACATACTGTATATGGAAATGAACTCTTTGATACAAATATTTACTGAACTCCACTCGTTTTTTTATGAAAATCATATCTATCGTAAATTAGCTGAGGACAATGTACATGTATATTCAATATATCTGATCGAGTGTCCTACTTGTGTTTGCTGTGGCAGGGGGCTGAGGTGGGGTAGCCTAGTGGTTTAAGCGTTCGCTCGTCACTCCAAAGGCCCGAGTTCAATTCCCCACATGGGTACAACGTGTGAAGCCCATTTCTGGTGTCCCCCGCCGTGATATTGCTGGAATATTGCTAAAAGCGGCGTAAAGCCATACTCACTCACTCACACTTACATAGCCCACCCCAAACACAACCAGCTGAATGTGATGTACCCGGGGTATAAACCTCCCTCGGTAAAGAGGTCGGCCAGGTTAGTCGGGATCAGATATAAGGTGCCTGTCGTTATGTATTGAATAACAGACTGTTTGTACAATTGTACCCGACAGAATCTAAACTCCGTCAACTCAATTCAACCACCCGAGATCACTTTAAACCCATAAAGGAAGCTTACTTTTATTAAATTCGTTTAGCGAGGGATTATCAATATCAGATAAAGGAATGACCTCTGTTCTGTAGAATTCGATAGCTATTCATACCTCCGACAGAATCCAATGCACCTATTTGTTATATTAACCTTGTATATGTATTCATTAAACAACAGGCCTACTTGACTGGGTTTTTTTAATAATAATGTATATATATGTTTTTAAAATAAAACTTTGACTTTGACTTTGTACTTAAAATGTTTATGAATGCAGACTTGATCTCGTCACTATATGGCTGGAATAATGCCGATGTGACGTAAAGCCCAACTTAACTCAACTCAATAAATCGGCTGTGGGCTTTTACATTCAACTAGTTCTTGCACAAAACTAATCACAGGTCGTAAACATGAAGTTACATTGCGTTCGTGGACACAACTGTATTGAACAGATCCCGGCTAATGCAGATATCCAGTACTCAGCCTGTTGCGTGTCTGGATAATCGATAGTTTCTTCGTAATCCTCCCACACACGTGGTCCTTCAGATATGTGGATAACCAACAACTCTATTTTCACCCAGAGATACCGGCCTTGTAGTCTGTAGCTTACGATTCTCCTAACAGTCTTGTCAACTCATGTTTACCTTTTGTTTTGTGTTCGTAGCTGGGGTGAAAAACTATTATCGGATATTTGCAACCAGTATATTAGTGTAAATCGATACAATCTGATCAACATTTTATGGCCAGGCCTTCGAATGAATTACCATGAATCGTCAATTAACTCTTAACTCAGCCAATTACCTTTTCTGATAATGGACTTCGAGTTCAGCGACAGGTTGAATGCGTTATGAAATTCGAACACATGCACCGACATATCTCGGATAGTCTTGAGGTGTTGTCATGTTTAGAGGACATGTAACAGACGCGTGAAAGCCGGTAAATCTATCAGTGGTGTCTTTAAGACTGGTACATCTGCAACCTGGTAATACAAGGCAATCAACTGACGCTACCTCGCCTGGCTTAACGCGTCAACACCCACAACGCCTTGGCGTATAAGGTTGCTATCATTGGGTCTATCGAAGTGCAGGCCATGAATATGCCGCCGTTGACATGTCTCGTACTTAGGACATTGAACGATCACTGGTCTGTAACTGGGATTGTCATGACTCAAGAAGGCGACACGAATGTTGATGTTTATCGTGTTAGAATAACAGAGGAAGGACAGCAATTGCCCGAACGTGCCATTTGTTTGTCTGCTCTTAATACTGTTAAGGTAGTTTTAATACGATATCATATAGATTTAATATGATACAAAGGGCATTGTGTTTGTGCAGCTACCCTGCTTGAAATACTTATTAATGTACTTGACCTTTGTGGTCATTTTACAGCATATAATTAGTCTACTAGCTTAATACTGAACAATCACATTATACTGAATACCGGTCGAATAATACTGAATACTAGTCGCATTATACTGACTACTAGTAGCATTATACTGAATACCGGTCGAATAATACTGAATACTAGTCGCATTATACTGAATACCAGCCGAATAATACTGAATACTAGTCGCATTATACTGACTACTAGTAGCAGTATACTGAATACCGGTCGAATAATACTGAATACTAGTCGCATTATACTGACTACTAGTAGCATTATACTGAATACCTGTCGAATAATACTGAATACTAGTCGCATTATACTGACTAATAGTAGCATTATACTGAATACCGGTTGAATAATACTGAATACTAGTCGCATAATACTGACTACTAGTAGCATTATTCTGAATACCGGTCGAATAATACTGAATACTAGTCGCATTATACTGACTAGCAGTAGCAATACCGGTCGAATAATACTGAATACTAGTCGCATTATACTGACTAGTAGTAGCTTTATACTGAATACCGGTCGAATAATACTGAATACTAGTCGCATTATACTGACTACTAGTAGCATTATACTGAATACCAGCCAAATAATCCTGAATACCAGTCGAATAATACGAGTCACATGATCCGATCTATAAACAGACTGCTGAGTTCAGTTATAATCAAAAGCATCCCTTTTGGTGTAAAGGGAAAAAACAGTTGTGAAAAATTATAAGACTGGATCACTGATGACACCAGGTGTTCTCCGAAAGGACAAAATGTTTGCAGGTGCGTCAAACAGCACGATCATTTAACCTTATATCCGGTAGTACCACCTGTTTTGATTTGCCACCGAGAAGACCCTGTCTTCGCTTCCGGGCGTCCATTTTGTCCTTGACCCCTTTCCCCTTCCGACCCGTCCTCTTATTCTTGACCTTTTCTTTCCCGAACAGAATGGCTAGCGTCGAAACTTTGGATTTGTTCTTCTGTGGGATCTTGGGGACGGGAGGGGCTTCGTGAACCACTGATTTTCGAAAGGATGGTGTTTTTTCGTGAGACAGAATGGTCATTAAGGCGTGTATGCCTCCCAGCATCTCAGTATATTCCGACACTTTGGTGGTGTCAAGCTCACTGTGGTGAAATGTGTCTGCTATGCGACCTCGTTCTGTTCCTGACAGTCCAATAAGGGATATAGCAACACCCTGGGAGCCCCCTTTAGATCCATCAGGCTCATCATATAGTCGGTCTGACTTTGGCCGCACCCTCGCATTATCCGGGGTTGCCATAGCAGATGTTACATCCGGGGGAAGAGAATTGGTTTCGCGTTGAACACTGTCACTTTCGGTCTCTGCTTTGATAACAGTCCTCTTCACAAACAATTTCTCTTGTCCCGACTCTTCGGGGATTTGAATTCTAGTTAAATCCGAACCGTGAAACGGACTCCCGAATTTAAACCTGGTAACGCGTCCTTCAATCTTTGCCCTGATCCTCTCCTCCTTTCGCCTGATCTCTTCGCCTTTCTGTCGCTCGAACTTCCCTATCTGTGACCACTCACGAGGAGACTTGAAGAACCTGGAATCTGACTTTGCTGGAGATGCACTACCTTCTTGTCTTAGTATTTCAGCGATTTCCTTGAACCCCAACCTTCTCGCATGCACATAGGGCGTCATTCCTTGATTGTCCTGGACGTCTACAGAGAGTCTGTACTTGAGAAGAGTCTGGATCAGAAGCTTCACGATATTCATGCAGCCCGCGTGTGTAGCATGGTGTAGGGCTGTCAGTCCATCGTTGTCCCTCTCCGCTAGGTCCATATCTCCTCCATAATCCAGCAGGAGGTGCTCCACCTGTTGTTCCCGCCCCAGGTGACACGCCCAAGACAAGGCGTTCCTCCCATGGGCCAAGTCCTTCTTCCGTGGGTCTGCGCCGTGTCGTAGTAACATCGTAAACATCTTGTCTCGCTTGACGTCGTGTTCTATGTGAAGAGCTGCCACGAGAGTGTTGTAACCGAAGTCGTTGCGACTGTTAACATCAGTGAATCTGTCCAGAAGGAACCGTGTTCTCTGAAACCGAGCCTTTAACACAGCGTAGAAGAGATTATTGGACACAGACATCTTGCAACCGCTCTCCAGAATGCTGCTTGATTGCAGGTGAATGGGAAAGCGACTTTTGGACGGTGATATCGGGGGTTCTCCACTGTAGCCGGACTGTCCGTCCTCAGACTGGCAGGAGCTGATGGACCTTCGCTTTATCGACTCCTGTGAAGTTAAACAGATACAATAAATATACAGTACAAGCAGAAATTATTGAGAATTTAAAGATTGTAAAAAATAATTTCACTCATTTCTCACGTATTAAATGTGAATATTAGCAGAACATAACTCCACATTCAAAGACAGGTGAACAGTTAGTATTTTGTCAAGTCACCATGGGCAGCAATGCAGGCTTCAATGCGGCGGGGCATACTAATGATCAAAGAAGTTAGAAAATCGTGGTCCATGCTGTCCCAATATCGGACCACCTCTTCCTTCATTTCAGCAATATTTGTCAGATTTTTCTTCTTGACACTTTCCTTCATAAGTCCCCAAACATTTTCTATTGGATTTAGGTCAGGGCTATAGCTTGGCCAATCTAATAATGTCATATTTTGGGTCCGAAACCAGGCCTGTGAATGCTTTGAACGATGTTTTGGGTCGTTGTCCTGCTGGAAAATCCAAACATTTCCATAGAACACGTGAGCAGATGGAAGTAAATGTCCCTCAAGGATATCTGTGTACCGCTCACTGTTCATATTCCCTTCAAATACACAGAGGGGCGTTGCCCCTAACACAGATATGCCACCCCCCAAACGTTACATTTCGGACTGTACTTTGGGCGCTAATACAAAGGGTTTTCAGTTTGTTTGGTCCAGAATTTCAGTGTATTAGGAAACAGCCACACAGAACTTTCATCTGACAAAATCACATTGTCCCAGTTAAAATTTCTATGCCGTAAGCACCAGTTCAATCTTCGCTCATTTTGTTCAGGTTTCATGATCGGTGATGGAATTCCTCGACTTTCTGCCAACCCATTGCATGCAGCTCAGTTCTAATTGTCTCCTTACAGACAGCCACAGTTCCTCTATCAATCATATCCAGCCTTACATTTTCTGAACTCCTTCGTTTGTTTTTAGAAACAAGAATACCAAGCCGCCTCCTGTCACCGACAGTCAATTTTCTGGGCCTACCTGCGCCTCCCTGGTGCTCAATGCCATATCCATTTGCAATATTTTTCAAAACACGATAAACAGTGGACAAAGGGATGCCTGTTCTACTTGAAATGCCTTTAGCTGATCTGATGTCCTTGTTATAATACTCTAAAATCAACTTCCTATTCTCTAAAACATCCATACTGAGGATCACTGAAAATGTTGTCTGCTAGCAAGTAAACAAAGGTGGATAACTCTTCACAAACTAATGAAAAAGGATTAACGGAGTTGTCTCTCTTGAATGAAACCAAACACTTGATAGCTTGTCAAGGTTGTTTATACTAGAAATCCAATTAAACATATTCCTAAAATTCTCAATAATTTCTGGTCAGACTATAACACTGTCAAGTACACTATTGTCAGTTCGTTGCGTCAGTTCATCAAATTGACATGATATCTTAGGGACTGGATAATTATTTTAGAAGGTGGATGTCCGGTAAGACTGCAAAGCCGGATAAGATCTGATACAGAAGGTTAAGTTTACAATACTGGTACATAGCATAGCAAGTATAATTACATTGACTTAAGACCCACCATTAAAGGACGGTTTGGGTGTACAATGTTCCATTTTAAAAGCCTAGACAGATATTTGGGGTTCAAGTCAGAGTTTGTAAACATTTCTTACAAATTACTTTTCATTTTATCTGATGAATAAGTATGATTCTCCCTTTGGTCATAATGATACTGAATTACTATTTTACACCTGAAATGTAGACTTCAGAAGGGGTTGAATGTGGCCACAGTGTGTGTGGGAGAGACATGATAAACAGAATACATGTAATGGGAGGTATGGACACTGTTCACAAGTAGTGGGGAATTATCAGCAGAATGTGATACAGTCCTAAGACCAATCGAACCGACCAACCCACGCCTACAATAAATGAAGTGAATTAGGTCGTGAGTATTGCCAAAAATATTCCAGCCTTATCTTGTCGGCCTGTAAATAATCGATCTGACCAGAATACAGCAGTGAAAGCACGAACATTACATCTCGACGGGGAACGATCACACACGACCGGGTAGGTGACACGTTGTTATTATATACTCACATCCATTCCATTAGCTCTCACGACAAACATGGACTGACTGAGTTTAGTTTTACGCCGCTTTTAGCAATATTCCAGCAATATCACGGCGGGGGACACCAGAAATGGGCTTCACACATTTTACCCATGTGGGGAATCGAACCCGGATCCTAAGCGTGGGGATCGGACGCTTTAACCACTAGGTTAAACCACAGCCCCACAAACATGGAGTATGGTGGCCTGTTTGAAACTCGAATCAATTTGCGACAGTATCGTTATTACGTTACTCCGACACACTAATGGCGGTTGTTACCAACACACATGCCATCTAAATAACAATACTCTCATTGTAATTATGTCACCCTGTTTAACGCACAAAAAACAACTGTTAACAAGAGCTTATTGTGGGCCATTGGTAAGAAGATATGCGTGCGTAATATCTGTACCACTTCGATCTTAGCAGTGAGACTTCTCTAAATTTACGTAGAGAAAATATGTTACATTAATCGCTCTTTTATGACTACCGTAAATATACGTAGAGACTGACTGACTGACTGAGTATGGTTTTACGCCGCTTTTAGCAATATTCCAGCAACATCAAGGCGGGGGACACCAGAAATGGGCTTCACACAATGTACCCATGTGGGGATTCGAACCCGGGTCTTCGGCGTGACGAGCCAACGCTTTAACCACAAGGCTACCCCACCGCCCCTTTACGTAGAGAAAAGAAATTAAGACAACAGAACCGTTACGACTATATACCGCAAAGACGATAAACGCAATTGTGTGACTGCCGTGCTTCAACGTACGGAAAGGACTTCCGACAGCCGCATTGTTACGCTGACTGAATCTACGTACGTAAAAGGTGTTACGAAAGTCGTAGTGTACCGATTACCGTAAATCTACGTTAGACTGTTTTGTGTGACATGATCCTCGTGGGGACCACACAAGTGAGCAGTGACATGCACGGTAGACGTAGTATTTGTAGACAGCAGGGGGACTTCTTAAGACTTAAAACCCTGAGTTTGCTCAACATATCAAACTGTTTACTGTGTATACCAATGTGTTTACGTATCCTCTTCCAGTCAAGAATGAGTAGCTAGGTTTTCAAGTAAACTGACCAGTGAGCAACTGACCATCATTTCTGTGCGTCTCGCTTTGTCATAAAGCGGTCAGTGTTCATGTCCGTGATTTCCTAAAATAACAATCCGTGGTTTTATGTAGACAACGATATAGGACGTCAAGTATTTACATGTATGAACAATGACATGTCTTATAGTGAGTGAGTGAGTGAGTGAGTGGGCGAGTGATTTGGCTTTTAGCCCGCTTTTAGCAATATTCCACCAACATCACGGCGGGGGACACCAGAAATGGGCTTCACACATTGCACCCATGTGGGGATTCGAACCCAGGTCTTCGGCGTGACGAGCGGACGCTCTAACCACTAGTTTTTGAAAAATGCCAGTGGTGAATGATAAATACATAGGTAAAATAGAATATATAATCCATAACTTCAATTGAAATTTAAGGGTATGTGTTAATGGACAATTGCTAAATGGTGATGAAAGTAAGTAGGCCTACATTAATAGCATTGTCGTGTTACATTACAATGGCAGGTCGCAAGGTCGACCACATACAGCACACATAGTAACAACGGGTAGTGGTACTGCAAACATAGTCAGTCGGTCACCTTCCCGGTATTGTTTGAAAGTGATAACCAACAAATCAAACAAATAAATCAAAGTTTACATTCTGATAGTCTTTACCTTAAGCCCGCGAGATCGCTGTTATCGCCCGAACATATGAAGGTTTGCGGTTAATTACAGATTCCACTTCTCGTTGCCTCGTCGATCATAGGTGAGCTAAACCAACCTGCCTGCCATAGTGGACGTGGCTCCGACTGTTCGTTCAATAGGGTAAATAACCACGATACATTTAAAGATCTGGCATTTTGGTAAGTGAAGGGCTGACACTTAGGTGCACAAAATGCACGTTCGGTTCCTATGTCTGGTATTGAATAAACACTGGGATCAAGACCTGTATTGCTAGCCCAGGACTCTTGTCACTATGATGTGCCAATAAACAGCTCCCGGTGAAAGCGGATACCAATAAAGGTTCACATTCGTACAGGCCCGGCATTTGTCATTATACAAGCAAAAGGCAAAATTTCAATGTCAATAGGTAGGTGTCATAATGTGTTAGTCTCGCTACAAAGAAGGAACAGAATGCCTATCGTACCTAGGCCAGACGTGGTATAATAGAAACAAAGAGGAATGAAAGCAATCACCATAACGGTCAAATGTGTCCTCTTCTACAGGTCAATAGCAGCAAGTTGTTCGCTCATTCCAAACCTCCCTTCTGCATTGTGACAGCACCCGGCAACAAGTGTCGTCCGCTCACTGTCGTCTGCTCTCTGTCGTCTGCTTTCTGTCGTCTGCTTTCTGTCGTCTGCTTTCTGTCGACTGCTATCTGCCATCATCTATGCTGTATACACTACGAGTGTAGACCCACTTAGCCACGCCTGCTATCGATCCATGATTGACATATCGACTCTCTTGTCGAATGCTTGAAAGCATTTTAAAAATCCTGACGGAAACTCGCCATTGTTCACATACAAATAGCTCCTCCCGTTTCAGATAATTAAGTTCTAGCCGAGCCACCCATATGGTAGTTCTGATGGTAAATATTGGCTTTGTTTTCGATTGCGATCGAGACCCCGGGCTGTTTGCGAAATAACTGTACTTTTGAAATTCCTTTATGGGTCGTTTGTCTGGTTCGTGTCTTAACCGGCACGAACAAATCAACCATCCAAAGAAAACAATTGGGTTTCAACTTTCAGCGCTCGGTTCACAGACCTGAATACTACTTAAGCAGAACGCGTACAGAAGACTGTCCTTGTCTCTTATCAGACTGTCTTAACATATTTGTCCGTATTAGATATATCTTACTTCAGATCACTTGTAAACTGGTGATCAACTCCATGTGTTCTCAAAAGGACTTAACATTCACATAGTCATTACCACTTATGCGTAGACATTGGCGGAGTTAAGCTAGAGGTCACAAATCGTGTGTGATCCTTTAGGCACACAACACACCCTAGCTGTTTATGACTTTGCAAATAATAAACAATAGTCTGTTGATATCAGCATGTCCGCAGTCCCAGGTAACAGAGCGTATGTACTTACATCATATTCGGTACACAAACACGGATTTGAAGCGCACCTGTCATGACGTCACGAATATCATTTCCACTTGACTGGAGTTACTGGGAGCGAAGTCATGATAACATCGTATCTGTGTCGTCATCAAGGTATGAACAGGAAACTATCACTTATACGCTCCCTGTTACAGGGAGCATGTAACTGTACAATGTCTTTGTGTCGCAGCATATTGTTTTATTGTGTCCAAATTACTCATTCTGTGCTCATGATATCAATCACTCGATTGTCTGGTCCTGATTCGAGTATTATAGGCCGCCTTCATATAGCTACACAACGAAACAAGACAATATCAAAATGTGTATTATCAAGCGCCATACGATAAATGTTTTCATAGGGAATATAATAAAGCCAAAATCAAATTTCAATCTGACAAAATAGTTATTGGTTAGTTCGGTATGTTTTTTCGAACCTAAAGTGAGTGAGTGAGAAACAATTTAACGTCACATCGGCAATATTTCAGCCATGTAGTGACTCGAACCTAAAGCAAAGTCTTAATCAATGTGAAATCTTAGGACTCACCATTGTAAATTGAGCGTTCTCAATCCCTTTTAAGTTTATGTTTCTCGTACACTGTTTTAGAAGAAAGGAGCTTGCTTATTCTAGCTTCCAAAATATATACAGTATGAAGAAAACAATGGGGTATTAAACCGGGATCATTGTCAACCTTTGAAGACACTGGAAGACATTTTGTAAATTGCAAATAACAATCACACGGTCTTTAGGAGAGATACAAAGGGCACAAGGGAAGTATGTTAGGATGCGCAATAATGGTTTTGCTGTGGAGATATTGTATATAAAACAACCAGGAAACCATTTTGTACATGAACAGGACAGATGCTACTCTATTATTATGGAGTTGGCATTAGATTTACAGTTCATATATTCACGGTCAACGAACCGTTTGTAAAGCATATTCTTTCGGGCTGAAAAACTACATACTTTAAATAGGGGAAGATAAGGTAGCCTAGTAGTTCAAGAGGTCCTGGTTCTGTTCGCCGCATGGGTGCGAGTCAACACTATTCCTGGTGTCTCCTGTGGTAATGTTGCTGAAAGTAAAACTATACTCACTCACCCCTTGCAGTTTAGCCATTTAACATGCGACTTATTTACGTAAATTCAAATTATAGTACAGTTAAATAAAGGTCATACTTGCATTAAGTTCTGAAACTATGAGGCATGGTGTGAAACACGAACTCTGGATCAGGCTTTTATATGATGCATATATATAGCCTGTAAAGCTAATCTCAGAACTAGCGAGTGAATGAATGTTGTTTTATGAAGCAGACAGACATGTAGAGATGTATCACTACTAAAACAATCATCATCACATGCATTCTTTATCCGATTTCCTATGTAATGAGAGTCCGACAGATAGAAATAAACATCACTAAAAATGAATTTCCCAGCTATCATTCTGTTCTCCACGTGGCCGAGGAGTCGTATGTTTGTTTTAACGCCGATCATAGTAGCCTGGAATTCCTTCGCCACCGTTTAACGGCTGTTATAAATGGTTGAGTGTGGACAGACAGTGTAGTGACTGATAACATGAGCATCGAGCATCGCAACTGGAATTACGGTGACAAAGGCCTCACCCAGACAACTCATCTATTTAATCGTAGCTTACAAACAAAAGCTGATCCGAACCAATGTTCTTACCCGGAATTGACGTTTCCTAGTTTACTCTGTGAAATGAGACAATTTAATTATACGCATAATCTAGATATGTATCTGAAGAAACATAACAAAAACTGAGTGAGTGAGTTTAGTTTTACGCCGCACTCAGCAATATTCCAGCTATATGGTGGCGGTCTGTAAATAATCGAGTCTGGACCAGACAATCCAGTGATCAACAGCATGAGCATTGATCTGCGCAGTTGGGAACCGATGACATGTGAAGACACTGCGAGCCTGACCACCCGATCCCGTTAGATACGCATAATCTAGATATGTATCTGACGAAACATAACAAAAAGCAACACAGTAGTATCAACACATAGTGAAGCACTGAAGAAATGATTAATGGTTTCAGAGTCGGCTAGTGCAAAGGCTCTTGCAGAACACGGGAATCGTTTTAACATTAATGCTGTTATCGATTCGATTGATTTACACAAGACCAATGGCTTCTAAGCTGAAGGGACACCGCCATGTGACGCTTGAAGTGGGTGAATGGCCTTTAAATAAACGAACCAGAACCATGCAGACCAGATTAGAAATGACAAACAGCCCTACTATACTTGGTCAGGAGACAAGCGGGTACCCAGTGTACCCCAACTCCTTATTCACCAAAATATTGCTCGATACAACATATTCTAAAATACACTCGAATAATGGTCGTTACAAGCGAATGTGTGAGTATGATATCTTACACGACCTCTGCGAGGTTTAACTTACAACAGTTGAGCTTCACATAGACGGAACTACCTAAAACAAAAATTGTGGACATTACATGATGTCCTTAAGCTATGACAACTTGCTAGCCAGTTGTTTGGCTGTGAAACCTGTCACCTTTGGAAAATTCACAAACTTGAGGAACGTGAACACTGGTAGAATGTCATTTTGATTTCCGTAAACCCAGATGTTAACTTCAGTCGTATATCGTTGCAAGAAGCTTTCTCGATCAGCTTCACACAGAGATTATCACAAGATGTGCATTGGATCAGATGTCACTAGCTTTGAAGCTCAACAAGCTGATACCTTCTTCAATACCAAAGTTTCTGTCATAATTGACGGTGCATTTCATGAGAAATGGCTACTGAAGGAGCAATATGAAGATCACTCATTCACTGCAGCACATTATATCAGGAAGCGTTAGCGCAGCAGGCTGGATCTTTTCTGGTGTTTTGGGCTCTCCCTGGCACGCTTATACCCTCTTGTACACCTTTTTACCGTGGCATAGGAAGAGGTCTCTTTCCCTAACATTGTATTTATATCCTCATGGATGGCTTTTTGTGGCCTTTAACTGCAAGTGCTTGACTACTCCAAGTTCCTCCAGTTTGTCCAGGATGAGTGAAAACTTTAACCACTAGGCTATCCCTAAAACAGCTTGATACAACATATTCTGTTAAGCTATATTGCAAAACAGCCTACAAAATGGCATGTACATGTACTCGGCAATAAGGTAATAATAACAACAACAACTTTTACAAGATAATATTGTGCGTTCATCGTGGTAACATCCATACACCAAGTGTATTCTCACAGCTCTAACATTATTACCCGGCCAATGGATCAGTGTACACTATAACCCAAACGTCTTGGGAGACACTAGGTGGTTAACAGTCATAAAACCATCTAATCCCACCGGTTACCTATTCACTGCTGGGCGAACAGTCAGTTTGAACAAAGTCACCTGCCTAAGGTGAGACCACATGTTCACCCGAAGTGACTGCACATGAAACCTGTACCTTTCTCCTGAAACCTCTTGTGAGTGAGTGAGTTTAGCTTTACGCTGCACTCCACTATTCCAGCTATATGTCGGGGTTTGGATAAATAATCGAGTGTGGACCAGACAATCCAGTGATCAACAGCCTGAGCATTAATCCACGCAACTGATACGATGACATGTGTCAACTAAATCAACGATCAGTTAGAGGCCTCAAACAAAAACAGCTGTCTGTGTCACGTAGAATGAGTGAGTTTAGTTTTACGTCCCACTCAGCAATATTGACATGTGTCAACCCAGTCAGCGAGCCTGACCACCCGATCCCGTTAGTGGCCTCTTAGGACAAGCATGGGTTACTGAAGATCAATATTCTAACCCCGGTGTAGATGCTGAAAAAAGATCATACAGTTTAAATGTTGTATAACCTCTGCTCTCTAATGACTATAAAATCATTACAAATAAAGTGTTTATTATTTCTACAGATTCTGATGTACACCACATTTACAATATGTATATACAATCAGTTTAAATAGGAAATATATAAATGTCATGTAAACTAAGGAATCTTTAACATACAGTTATTACTTATTTTCCAAATACAGTACTAGAAAATCATAGCTACTAATAATTATTACAATGTTAATATGTGAAAGTAAACTTTCACAATTTAAGAGAGACTGTACCATTTATTTCATAATAAAATACAATCAACTGATCTTTCACATCAGAAATCCAGCATTTTGTCAACATTTGTAACAGTTTTCTGTCTGCCCTACAAGTTTTATGTAGAACCAAACACAAAACACAACATACTTAACACAATCTTAACTTATTGCCCTTTCAATCAATATTAAATGACTGATGTTCACTCTACCTTACATAATTCAATATGTAAAATAGGGAGTTGCTTTTAACAGTATTTCAGGCATGTCATGATTTGTCTGTGTGATGAGCACGAAATGCTAATGTGTACCAGTTTGCTGAAGGCATGAGCAGGGTTTAGGGCTGACGAACCCAGAGGCGTGATCTGGGCCACACATCACCACTTACATCTTGCAGTAACCTAACCATGGCTACCTTCAGCTTATTATGGAATGGCACAAGTTGGTCATAATATTAATCAGTACTAGTCTATTCTTTAAACACATAATCATTAATACCTGATGTGCAAAAGGGACACAACTCTGCACAGCAAATTCCATCACCTTAGACATCTGGACCAGATAAAACTATTTTCCTTGAGGAAACTCTTGTTTTTCACCATGATTGATGAGCATAAATTTTCCTGATGCAAGGATGTAAACATTTCACATTATTTTTATCACTATATGTATTACATGTGTTATCATGACAAGAACATCCTAACCAATACATCAATCGCAACAAATATTTGAACACTATGATTGCATGTAATATACTAATGTGACATGCATGTTGTGTAAGTCAGTATGCTTGAAAGATACACATAGCATGATTCCGTCCATGCTAACAATGTTGATTTCAAATTAAGAAATCAAAACACAAACCAAACCTATCAGATACCTAACAATCAGGAAGTTTACAAAGAAAAACAGACTTGAATTGCTAGATAAATATACTGAAGGAAACAAATATGGGAACACCACTCCATGGCAGTGTTCATTTATTTATTCTCATATTTCATCTGTTTGAATACAGCGCTGTTCAAAGCTGGTGATGAAAACTGGAAAATATTAAAGGAACGCTTGAGTTCTTCTGTGTTCCTTTATTTGTTTCTCTCAGTATATATTCATGTAGGCAACCATTACCTGGATACTGTTAGTTGCTAGGAGACAGCTGCAGTCAGAGAACACTATTTCACCAATATATCAGTGCCAGAGGTTTACCACTTAATTAAAATCCTTGACCTCAGGTATGGTGGGGAAATTCAGATCTTGTACCCAGTTCCTGGGTGGAAACAATGTTGAACAGAATTGAATAAATGTAATTATTTTTATACCAACTTTCCATGTTCCAGAAACATTAGGGCAGAGGACCCCAGAAATGGGCTTCACATATTGTGCCATTGTGGGGAATGGAACCCAGGTCTTTGACATGGAGAGCAAATGCTGTAACCATAAACCAAATGCCCACACTTCAAAAGACTTCCAAAGTTCTTGACATCTCAAAACATGGCAGTTCTCTCTGTTTCTCCCTATTTTGCCATATGTGAACAGTTGTTTTTTTAAAGAGGGTACAAGAAATAAGTTCATAAAATAACAAAAAGTAACCAGAAACAGACTGAAATGTGAAGTACCCTGATGACCCAACACATTCTGTAGAACCAACAGTCCGTCTGAGATGGACAGTCGGTCTGGCAAGAAATTGTATATATTTCTGAATACTTAAGATATTTTCAGAAATATTTTACACACAATCTTTTCATTAATTAAAAGCATCTGCATTTAACTATGACTAACATCAGAGTTGATCTGTGAAAGTCACCAGCAGACATAGTTTGAGCATCAGTCTCATTCAGTTCATGCAGTACACACACACATCCACTTGAAGTTGGACAGAACCAGTTAGAACCTGATCTGACCAGTGCAGACTAGATAGATCAGGATGCTGTCAGAGCTTCCGGTTCCTTGTGTTTCCTTTGCTCCCTTCTTCTCTCTTTCTCTGAAAAATAAACAGGAATACAATCACTTAGAGTGATACAACATACACATAACCGGTTACTATTAGTGTTGAAATGTCTCTTAAAGGCAAAAGTTCACAACAACTGCACCTTTGACTTGTTCATGTCGTTTGGTAATCTCTCCGTGTAAGAAATCCCATCATCCACTGTGTAGGTAATTTGATCAGTGGCTTAGTGTAATATCCCTTATATACTAGCGACATAAAGAAACTGTGCATTGTCAAAATATTATCCCAGTTGATAAGTACAATAACAATGTCAAAGGTACATACAAACTTTAATGGAGGGATCATGAGACCATAACAAGTCGGAGAATTTCAATTGAAAAGTCAATCACAACGACGTCACGAGTCCACAAGCGGGACAGGGGTCAAACGACCATGTCACAAGCTCAATAACGGGTATGTCCACCATCGGCATTGAGAACAGCAGTGCGTCGACGACGCCATAGAGCCTATCAAACGTGCAAGGAAGGCTTGTGGGATGCCACGCCAGATTCTCTCAAGTTCTGTTGCAAGGTCAAGGACGTTATCTGGCGGATGAGGAAGACAGCGTAGACGTCGATCCTTCTTGTCCATCTTGTCCCAAACATGCTCTATCTGGGAGAGATCCGGTGAATTTGCAGGCCAAGGCAGTAAGTCAACGCTGTGGTGTTGCAAGAAATCCATAGCAACCCTTGCCGTATGAGGGCGGGCATTGTCCTGTTTGAATGCTAACCCAGGGCCATGGCGTTGAGGTCGAAGAATCTGATCCCTGTAGCCCATACCAGTTAAGTTGCCCTGAACAATCACCAAAGGAGTTCTTAGGCGTTAACCCCAAATCATCACAGAACCACCACCAAAGCGATTCCTCTCCAAGACACAGGCCTGTGCATAACGTTCTCCCACGCGTCTATAGGCACGTTGACGTCCATCACTATGGGAAATGTTAAACCTGGACTCATCTGTAAAAACAACATTTCTCCACCAAAACAAGGGTCCGCGGACATAACTTTGGCACCACATTCAGCGAGCTTGTCGATTACGTTGTGTCAGGATAGGCCGTATGGCGGGACGCCGTGGTCTGATCCCATGATGACATAAATGTTGTCGAACTGTGTTGGGGTGGCGAAGTCCTGGGATGGTTAGGGCAGTCATCACTGCAGTCTGAAACCTGTGGCGCGGATGGGTCACCCTTATCCATATGTCCTGTCTTGGCGCTGTTACACGTGGGCGCCCAGAACGTGGCCGATCGATGGCGTCATTTGTGTTCTGCAGTAGCGTCTCACCAGTGCAGAAATGGTGTTCCCGTAGCAGTGGAAATGTGCAGCCACTTGTCGTTGAGACATTCTCCCACGGACCATCCCAATGGCCTCATGACGTTGTGCAGACGTGAGCCTTGGCATGCTATGCGTTTCAATAGCCGTTTAATATTTTGAACGATCGCAAGGGCAGGGGTTGAGCTTTCCAAAGTGACAGTATTGTGTGGCATTCATTTGCTCTGTTTCTCTTTCCTGGAATGCACGTGCAACAACGTATTGCACGTCTCAAGGACGAACTCACTGACGTCACGGAACGTGGCACGTGCATGCATGTTGGATACATGTCACTAATCTCTGAGTTTTAATCCTTATGTGTCTACACAGGTTTGATAAAGTTAGATTTTAAATTTTGGTATGCACAGTTTCTTTATCTGCCTAGTATAGTATAATCAGAGTAATATTTTATGTTACCAAACACCGGCAATATGATTCATGTGCCACACTGTGACCCATAAGCATGAAATGTAGACAAATCCAGACTGAACTTAACCATCAAGACAACTAAACTTTACTATGTCCACAATAAAACAGCACTCAAGCAAGTATCTCTGACAGATGGCAATTTTGGTAAATAAGCACAAGCATCCTTTGTTGAAGTATCTTAATATTTTCAGCTGAGTCTAAATGGGCATTTTGTTATAGCAGACATTGACTTAAATCTGCTATATTTTGTAACTAACGGACAAAATAAATACTGTTTGTTTTCATTTATTTAAACTTTACAATATAGATTTCACTGGAGAGGAGGTTTAATGCTTTCAGTAATAATGCTGCAAGACAAGAGTGAGACATGATAAACAGAACCGAACAGTGTTTATCGACATACTGTAAGTGAGTAGTGAGCTGGAGAATGGTTTTACGATGTTTATTATCTAGCAAACTGGATCATTGAAAATAATTGGTTGGCGTCATTTATCAAATTTTCCTGGTTATTTTTGTTAATGCTAAAAAAAAAATAAGGAAAAAAACATGTTGTACTTTGTTTTTGTTGTCGCAATATTTCACATCTTTAAAGAATGACTAGTATGTTCAGAACATAAATTTCTTGGAGTCTTTAAGATAAATTCAATCATGACTTGGAACGAGCTGGTAGTGCTTATGAATTGTAACAGACAAAATCAACCTTGTGAAAAATATAGTTCATGAAAACAAGTGTTCCAGAATTGTTTGTGTTCGATTATGAGAAAATATGATCGATTGCTTGGTCGTTAAGTCACTGCAACCAATCTTCGATTATTTCAATTAATCGATCCACCACTACTAGAAACATGATCAGGGCAAACTGGTACTGAAACCCAGGAGTGCCCAAGGGAGGCAACTCTGTAAGCAAACTGCAGCACCTTGGACCGACAGGGCCACCCCTGCATAACAAGTGAACAATTTAGCCACAGAGAGTGTTTGATGATAATCTCCCTACCTCCAACATCTTCATCAGGCACTTCCGGAAGCTCCAGATCTTGTTCTGGGGTTGAATCCTGATTGTAGGAAAGATACATGTTAAAATGCAACCGTGTTATAAGCACTGACTAAAGTCTAGCCTGTATCATTTCCCCAACACTGGTTAATTTGATTCTGAAGTTAACTGTACTTCAGCTAACATTATATTATGAATTTTCCAGTTCACTGAACATCAGTCGAAAGCCTACAACTGCTAATGGGACGAAAACAGAAGCACAAAATCCTTAAACAAATTATTAAATATTCTCAAACATTATTTCTGAAACAATGAATCCTCTCCTGATGCTGCAAGTGGCACCTACCTGTACTATCTGACTGAGTTCAGTTAGAACGTCCTGCTCGTCCTGGTCAGTGAGTCCTCCTGCCAGTAGGTCATCAATTTCCTGATGCAACAAACAACAGTTTCATACAGGCAGAGTTACTTCCCTTCTGTGAAAATGCTCACAAAATATCAGTGCCTGGATTTGTTTATGAACTCCAAGAATCTGTTAATTTACTTCCTGAGTGGAAGGATATAAATTTAAGCTGGCAAATGTGTGGCACTGCTAATGTTGACTGGGAGATGACATATATTTACTAAAAAACACAAAATCCAAAGGCCTAAATGATTTTTCACACATATTTAGAAATATGTCTAACCCAGAATGAGCATTTTGTTTCGGAGGTGAAGAGACATGTGCCGTTCATGTGTAGTGCAGATTCATAGCAATATGCAGACACAAATGTCTGGCTGTGTGTACTGGTCCAGAATAATGGTGGTCTTATCATGCCAGCCCATGAGATTTCATGCAACAGTTTAACATATACAGTGGAAGCCCTCTAAACCGGCAGCCCTCCAATCCGGCATGCTCTCAATATTGGCACTAGAATTTGGTCCCGCCCTCTAATCCGGCGTCAGTCTATTCGGTATTTTGCCACAACAAAAACCGCCCAATTGACTGTTTGTACACAGTACAGTAACTAACGCTCTCTAAACCGGCATCCGGTATCTCGGCTCTCCTGTTGATTGGCTGATTGGCTGAACGTGTATTAACAACAAAGAGGATTACCATCAGCATTAAGCTCATTGATGGTTTTTGACTGTCCTCAGTAAAAACATACCCATTTCTGGCCCTATATTTGAAGAAAAAGCTTGCCACAGAATTAAATGTCAACGAGTTTAAGGCATCAGATGGTTGGCTGGCATGTTGGAAGACACGATACGATATCAAACAGTTCAAAGTTTAAGTCACGCCTCCCAACTTTGATTGATGGATATGTGCCTGAAGATGTCTTTAACTGCTTTGAGACTTGCTTGTTTTTCCGTGCTTTACCGGATATTATCTTTATTGATGAATAAAGAATATGAATCCACATGTTGTTCAGTCTTTTACGGCACATGGAAGATCATTCTCAGGTTGAAAAGGGACAGGTTCTCTAAACCAGCACACCCTCTATACCAGCATTTTTTGCCGGTCCCGATGAATGCCTGTTTAGAGGGCTTCCACAGTACATCCCACTCAGATATGATGCATTGGCTCTCGAGCAGACCAGTCCTTGTTTAACTCCCTTTATCCAGAGACATCCACGGTAACAACAAGTACCATCACTTAACATCTCTTGGTTTGATATTGACTGAAATCAGACAACTTGTCTCTAGACAAACACTCTTTCCACTTGAGCAATAGAGGTGGTCCCATATGGAGGACAGGCTGCTGGCTTAACTACAAAGCAAACAACATGACTTTACATATCTTTCCTGTACGGATTGGCTAGTTATTGTTTCCATGGTTTAAAGGTCTCACCTGTTGATACTCTATTCCCTCCCTCGTCTCCTCCATGATTTTCTCCACATCATCCAGAGACAGCAGCTGCACAATTACACAGTACAAGAATTACATTCCTTGTTATAAATATACAATATTACACTGCTAGAAACTTCATGTGTAATAACATTCTGATATCTGGACATGTGCACTTTATACAATGCTCAATGCTGATTGGAACTATTAAGCCATGTGATGTCACAATACTTTATTATTCATGATGTCACAAAATACATGATATTACGCCATGTGAACAATGGACTATTAGATGAATTGCAAAGTTTCTCTGTTTGGTGGACAATATATGTATCTTTTTTTCATTTTCTCTCATAAAGTGTTAAGAAGGAATATATAGAACAAACCACTCAAAACGAGAAATTATGGACTCTCTATCCCTATGAATGAATGCTCCCTGCCAAAGTCTCACGATTAACTTCATGAACTCAGGATAGATAATCAGCAGTTCTTCAGAGTTCAAGTCTCTAATATCTGCATGAGTGAGTGAGTTTAGTTTTGCGCCACACTCAGCAATATTCCAGCTATATGGCGTCAGTCTGTAAATAATCGAGTCTGGACCAGACAATCCAGTGATCAACAGCATGAGCATCGATCTACGCAATAGGGATATGATGACATGTGTCAACCAAGTCAGTTAGACTGACCACCCGATCCTGTTCGTCACCTCTTACGACAAGCATGGGTTACTGAATATCAATTCTTGCCAGGATCTTTAATAGCTGCATAAGTTGGTTACAGCTGAAACTCTGCATTCAAGCTATAGCCTCCATGATTCCACTGGGACCAAACTGAACCAATAGCCCACTTCACTGTTACCTTGTGTGACTGACCTGTCATGAATACAGGGATTGGTATAAGACTGTAACTATGTAGATCGACAAAGTAGCTATTCCTTATCTCCTCACCTCATGCATCTTCTTGAGCGAGTCATTACCAACTTTGAGTCCTTTCACAACTTCCGTTTCAATCTGAGCAAACTCTAGATCATGAACCTATGAACAATCAAAAGAAAATAAGTGATAACTGTCACATCTCATTTTTCACAAATATCTCGGCATGAAAAACATTATGAACCTTGAATGACTTGAAATCAGTAGGCCACTATGGTTGAATTTCGGGAGCAGATACTCTGCAGTTATGACTATTCTCTCAGACTAACAGTCTTTATAGGTGTTGCATTCATGCACCTCATGCTCTGCACAAATTGGTTAAATTATTCAACACCTGAGCATGATAATGTCATTTTCCACTTAAGGCCAGACCAATTTTATTTCTTGTTTTATGGATTTTTGTCCTCAGAAAACCTAAAGGCAGGAGGGAAAAAATATAAAAATAAAATCACCAGTCAAAGTAATATTCCTTCTAAATAGTCAAAGTATTTTACTTTTGGCAATTTATGAAGTGTATATGGGGCAAAACACAATCTAAAAAATTTTTTTTCGTAAGTTTACATTTTGGGCCAATAAAAACATTAGGATTTTATTTTTGAACGGGGAAAATTAGTTGTTTTTTTTTTTCTTATTCTTGAAAAAATATGACAGGTGGATCTGTAAAACAAGAAATAAATTTGGTCTGGCCTAGAGGCAATAAAAAACATTCTGACAACATTAATAAAATGGTTTTGAATGAAAATCAAATCTACTTTTAGCTTTAGTGTTTTTAGTTTAGCATGGAAATTGGTGTAGCACAAAACATTTTGAATTTATCATAGGTGACTTGTCTTAACTAAATTTACCATTCTCTCTATGTTGTCTAGTTGTCCATCTGTCTTTACAAGGAGACCTTCCTGGAATTTCTTTTTCCTCAACAGTAGTAACGCTTTGCTGAAACAAAAACAAACCTAAACATGCATGATTCTTACACAACGAAACAAACAATATGGTTCATAAGACATCCACCGTCACAACATAAATTATGATTAAAAATACATTTTAACAGAAAAAAGTTAACAACAACATGCATAAACATGAAAACATAAGCAAACCTCGCTGAATACAGACACATATTTACCCGTTCTAAGAATGAAATTCACTTTGTTGAGCCATTTTGAGTGAATGAGTGAGTGAGGTTTGTTTTACCCAATACTCCAGCAACATCACAGCGGCTAATGCTACCCCGCCGCCACTCACTGTCATGTTGAAGCTATATATCATGTGTATATCATAGTAGCCTGAATGGACAGGTTGGTCTGGATCAAGCAAACCAGTCTCTATCACCATGAGCATCAGGTCATGATGGCATATACTCAGTCAAGTCATTAATACCTCCAATCCTCTTTAGTCCATACTTATTAATAGCATGGGTGTTTGAAATTTCAAGGCTGCCACCAGGATCCACACACTGTAAAAGCTACAGGCCAGGACTAAGTCTAAAGGCAAGCATTTATTTCAAACACTGGGCATCTATTCTTCCCCAACATCCCCAGGGAGACTATTTAGGGGAAGAATAGATAGGGATGTGATTATGCTGTCTGATTTGATTGGATATAAATTACAAGCTGAAAAAGCATAAATCTTACAAATATAGCACACGATATGGAGCTTATAAATACCAACAGAGTATGACACTGATCACAATCATGAATATATCTCACTCTTTCTTTCCATCCCTTAGCAGTTGTCTGGCTACATTCCTCTCTCTCTCCAAGTTTGCATTGATCTTCTTCTGGTACTGTTTCAGTTTGTCTGGCTGTTGTTTCAGTTGCTAAAAATGAGTATACAGCTGAATTGTTATTCCATATATTCCATCTTATCATACATATCCCTCCATTGTAATTATAACAATCATTGCAATAATGAAAGAGTCATGATTTTGTCATAGGTCTCAGTAGATGCATAAAACCTGTATGAAATGGAAAATATTCTCCCTTTTAGTTTTAATAGTAATCATTACAGTGAAACACAGGTAAGAAACCTGTGAAATGATTTTCTAACTCAGTCTTTGCAAATAATCAATTAAATTTAAAGTTCAAGTTGTACTGTTGTGCTGAAACATAACGTTTTCGAAATTATTACGTCATTTTAGATTAAACGTAAAAATAATAACTAAGAGCAAAATATAAAAGATGATCCGTGAGACATGGTTGTCACCATGGTCACGATCACACATACAGCTGTGACTGCCAGTGGATGGCAAGTGATAACAAGACTGATGTATACAATGTGAATCAAAGTCTGGATCTGGTAAACTATATTCTACTGATGTTGTTTTATTTTCATCATGATCATCGGCTTATCTAATTCAGTGCCAATAAAACAGAAAATATTGGCAACAGGTCTACGTGAGACAAAATAGAGTCAGTTGATCAGTGATTCGTAAAGCAACATTTTGACTTACAAGAACAGCTCTGTCTTGTTCCGTTACTCGTGACTGCTTTGGTTTCGATTTGCCGAATAAATTACCCATTGCTAAATATAACGTGAAGCTTGTCAACAGCAATAATTAAAATGTTGACATTTCCCCCACTTTCAGGAAATATTCCGGAACCGGAAGTGTATTCCGTCAAAAAGGAACGGAGAAAACGAAAGGTCGATTATTATTGGGTAAAAATTGATGTTTACAAAATTCTGGAGGAACATGTGCTTGTTGTATTGACTGATCAGGTGTTTATTATCACGTTATTTTATTTCTTGCAATGTTCAATTCTCCAAGAAATGGCAAAGAAAATGAATGAATCGAGGAAATGTGAAATTTGTGCTCTAGATTGCTCATCAGTTCCTCTATAGTACGAGGTTTTAGAGTGACGAGTTATCTTTTCTCCTATTTGATGAAAATTATCATTTGATATCACTTTCAATAATCAGCATGTTAAACCGAATGATAAAGTGTAGTTCAAGTATACTGACACAAATGTTACAACTAGCTGTCATGGAAAAAATGGGGGAGGGGTATGGGGTGTTTGAAACGTTTGGACAAAAGTTGCATCCAAGATTATTGCCATTATTGCACTTGTGTGGCTTTTCCCATTAGTTCAAACATATGCTGGTTTAATGTGCTAGCATGCCGAGGTACCATGTCACAGTTAATACTACTCAGACACATTATATACTGACTGTGCCAACCAGTCATTCTGAGGCTTCTTTCCATCCCCATAATGTCAATAAGTGCCAGACAGGGTAACAACAAACACCATCTTTGGTATGACAGGGATATTCCACTCTCTGGGCAGACAGTTTCATCACTACACCACAGAAGCAGTCAGTATCGAGGATTTTGTGAAACCTTATGCTCCTTCCTCTGAATCCGAAAGAGACAGAGATGGTTTTATATCACAGTTACAGTTGACATCTTTAAGAAAGGGACCGATCATAATTTATGGCTTGGGGAAGGTGATGATGATTTTAAGAGGGGGTCACCCATTTTGTTCTGGGGAGGTAGGGGGGTGGGGTGTCATCAATTTTGCACACATGTACTAGGGGGGGTCATTGATTTTGTACATGACATGCAGGGGCATCACTTACTTTGTACATAAAGTTTAGGGGAGGTGGTCATTCACATTGTACATGCTTCTCCATAAAAATCATCATTACCTCCCTCCCCTAGCCTTAAATTAGGAACGGTCCCTAATGGTGATGTATTCCTTAAGTATAATCAGTAACAAGATGTACTGTAAGGTTTACTTTGATGGACTGATAGACAGTTCTTAAAATGTTCATCTTACAGGATGTGTTGTATCACCCCAGCAGTATTGACAGTCCTTGCATCAAGCGTACTCTGCCTGACATCAGCAAGTCGGAGGATTGGAACACCCTATCTAGAACGACATCTGCACAAAAAAGGCTTTCACAGGTAATGTTATCAACTAGGACTAACCTTCACCCAACTTGGCCATGAGTCTAACGATCTTTTGTCTACTTACATTGTCTCAACTACATTTATGCAGTTTTGTGAAAAAGCTGATGTAAGTAGCTTTTCCAAAATAATTGCACAAGATGGATCTTTTGAAGGCCAGAGTGGCTAAGTAATCTGTTGCCTTGTTTAAGTTAATTTCATGAAACTCCTGAAATATGTTGGATTGAAACCTAATCACTGAAGTTGTTCATGTATGAAAAATGCAAGACCACACTATTTATATTTTTTAGTTCACAGATATTCCTTTGACAGGCATATTGATCTGACATAAGATTGTGAAGACATATCTGTCTGTGTTTGTTGAGCAGGGACCTGAGTACGACAGTAGAGTGGCTGGTGAACCCTCACAACCGAGGGGACATAAATCACTGCATGATTCTGCTGCTGGAGAAGCTCCCCCCGGGCGTCTATGTGGACCCCTTCCAGCTCTCAGCCATGCTTCAGTTTGGGGGACCAAAGGTAGGGTACTGCATTGTTGTACATTTTCTCCATATTCTGATCATGCTGATAAAAAAATACTCGTTTACCCACTGAAATTTTTTAAGCTGGGACTAAAGTAAAAGTATCAGTAATGAAAAGAAACCCGAATGTGTAATCTTATAGAACTGAAGCTATTCTCATATCTTCCGAGCATTATGTGCCATGGGAAATGTTTATGTCCAGTTTTGTGAGTCTAATTATAGTGGAAAGCTATGTTTATTTTTTTACCTATTAAAGGTAAATTACTTATTTTTACCAAAAATGTAGTTGTCTAACTTTGCATGTTGAATTTTGATTATAGTGAAATGCATTGAACAGCAAAACCATGTACTTGTTTATGGCATTAGATTTTCCAGACGATGTGTTTAACAAATCTATATGAAGAGGAGATTGTATACTGATATGAATACTGAAAGCAATAGCTTTAACAGTTAAGTCTCAGATGTTGTCAAGATATTGTGGTTAGCGCTTGAGAGCTTTAGTCTCAAACATTTATGCTTATAACAGGGTCTGAATGACTGTCAAATGTAGAAAGTACATGAGAAAACCCTTACCATTTTATACAATATGCTAAACATAAACACATTATACCCATGTTTAGACTCAACACTACAACATAACACATAACAGACTATCTAACTGGTCTGCTTGACAGTGTCATGAGTTCAGTTTTCAAATGAAGATATTGTCTTTATAGTAAGGCTATTTTAAATTAAATAAAATGATTCAAATAAAACTTCAAATTTGAATGAGTGAGTTTGGTTTTACACGGCTTTTAGCACTATACCAGCAATATCAGGGCGGGGGACACCAGAAATGGGCTTCACACAATTGTGCCCATGTGGGGAATCGACCCCGGGTCTTCAGCGTGACAAGCGAACCCCTTAACCACTAGGCTACCTGACCGCCAATTTAATTTGAAGTTTTGTTTTTATGATATATGATTAAAAAATGCTGTGCTTAGTTTCCCTTGAAGGAGTTTACGTTAGTCAGAGAGTAATGGAGTGTGTGAGTGACACTTGTAAAAATGAATGTGTTTGCTGGCAGATCATTAAACTGACCATCAGGACCAGGCTGTATACATATGGCTGGGTAGCCTAGTGGTTAAAAGCGTTGGCTCGTCACGCCCGAGGACCCGGTTGAATCCCCACATGGGTACAATGTGTGAAGCCCATTTCTGTGTTGTCCCACGTGATGTTTGGAATATTGCTAAAAGCGGCGTAAAACCAAAACTCAGTCAGTCAGTCAGTGTTTGGAATAGTGAGAGACTGAGTTGGATTTATTTTGGTTATATCATATAATGCCAGCTTAATGTTGTTAAGAAATCCAAAGTCCAGGAAGAATTAGTAAGGCAAATCACCGATTCGAAACTCATAATCATAGGATTCTGGCACATTAAAGGGAAACAACTCTATAACTCTTCATCATATAAATTCTCTTTTACTTTCATATCCAACAATCCTGGATTGAATATGTTTGTTTTGTAAAGCTGTTTACATGTAGGCTGTATGTTACTTGTAATATGTTTGTTTTGTAAAGCTATTCACATGTAGGCTGTATGTTACCTGTAATATGTTTGTTTTGTAAAGCTATTCACATGTAGGCTGTATGTTACTTGTAATATGTTTGTTTTGTAAAGCTGTTCACATGTAGGCTGTATGTTACCTGTAATATGTTTCCTTGTTATCTGCAGGTTTTAGTTGATGCAGCTGTTAACATAGAGAAGCCTGCCCACCTTTCACCCCCACACACGCTTCATGTGTACACTGAGCTGAAGACCGTCACAGACAATGATGAAGGGTTCAGCCTGGCAGCATCAGTCACTCTCCCCATCCATCTCCGTTATCAGCCCCCTACACACGAGACCAGCGTCACTCATGTAGATCTTGTCATCAGCAACCCTCGCATGTTCACAAACTGTTCTATCAAAGGTAACACATTTTGTCTACTTACATGACAGAGTCTGATTTGAGTGAGTGAGTTTAGCTTTACACCGCCTTTAGTAATATTCCAGCAATATCACGGCAGGTGACACCAGAAATGAGCTTCGCACATTGTACCCATATGGGGAGTCGAATCTGGAGCTTTGACATGACAAGCGAACACTTTTACCAATAGGCTACCCCACCACCCCAGGAGTCATATGTATATATACAGAAATCAAAACGAGGAAGTGAGAGCTAACTATTAAGAGCTATTTTCCTGGAGTAAGTAAACGTACGTCAAACATAATAGTTTTGAGTGCATGACATTTTGTTGTTACTTGTTATGCAATATGTACAAATTGTACTTGATATGTCCATGAATGATAAATGTCAGTTTTGGCTAGACGGCAACGAAGGTGAACACAAGATGTAGATTCCATTAACAATTGTATCACTATGCATTCCCATGCCTGTTTAATACAACTTAAAACCTTGACAAAAAATGGAACATTTGTATTTTTATGGGATATGTATATGTGTAATCAAAAATCAATCTGCTAATTGGTTTGTTATTACTATAGTAGAATTACAAGTATCTGTATGTTTTGAACATATACTCAAAAGTTTAAGAACCATCCAATATCTTTGTACGACTACAGTTCATCTGTCGTGGCTTTAGCACTCTCAAGTTCCTTTTCTAATCATAGAATGTGATTTTGGCTATGTAGTCTTCCTTACACATTAAATAATCTGAAAATCTAACTGTACATTGATTTCAGAGTCCGTGGCCTTGTTACAGGCTCCGTGTGATTACACCAACACCTCTCAATGTCTCTGGCATGAGCATCACTACCTGGCTGTAAGTTGTCTCCCCTTGGTTGCCTTGAACCATTAAAGCACTTATAAAAATATCGGCTTTGAAAAAGGACTTTTTCCATGTTGGCCTACCAAGGGTATTAATCCAAACTCCTTAAATTAATATTTCACCTCTTGTAAGTATGTGCTTGCTCCTTTGTTTCATTTGTTTTTATTTGAATTCCAGTGATTATTATATGCTTCACTAGCAATGATCCAATACCTTCAAGAGTGAGTGACTGAGTGAGTGAGTATGGTTTTACGCCGCTTTTAGCAATATTCCAGCAATATCACAGCGGGGGACACCAGAAATGGGCTGCACACATTGTACCCATGTGGGGAATCGAACCCAGGTCTTCGGCGTGATGAGCGAACGCTTTAACCACTAGGCTACCCCACCGCCCCAATACCTTCAAGAGGGACGTGTTAAGTTTCATAGCCATACAAACTGTTTAATATTAAGAAGTAAAGGACTCAATTAAATTTAGCCATTTTAAGGGACTGGTTTCCAAACTATAACTTTGAACAGATATTTTGTAGTACTTAATGAGTAAGATGCAAGATCTTTGCTACCAACAGTCTTCATGGGATGAATTTGTTTTTCAGGAACAGGACAGTGTGGCATGCAGGGTTCCAGTGGGGAACACAAGTTATCTGCCCCTGGTGGTGGCCGTGACATTACTTGTGACTGGTCTTGGTTGTCTGTTCATAGTATACGTAGTCATGACAAAACAACCTCAAACCAAACTGAAGACATCATGAATACACGAATGAAGATATCATAATGAGCTAGCCTGATAACCCGACTGAAACCCTGGACATTAGCGTATCAGCTATGACAAAAGAAGCTGTTGGGGACAGCACCTGTGATGAGATGACGCTCTGCAAGTCTTGATATATGCATCTGTAACTGTTACATTTGTGTTGAACTCTGACTTATCCTCCTGAAAGACAGATGAACATAGCCTGTGTATTCTCGCTGTTACTTGCATGAAATGCTGGCATTCTTGTCACTGTTTGAGAATGGTGGTTTCACTTCACTGTCAAAACTAATTGTGCTGTTAGAACTATGAACTGTTTACAGTCAACTCTTGACACTGACCTCCAGTACAAGTGTTGGTCAAGATAAATGGAAACTATATTTATGATCTGATCTATCTTGGAAATAAGAAGTATTTTTTGGACAAGTGTATATAAATGATATACAAATGATACAGTTTGGTCTTCAGATTAATTCCTGTGGTTTCAAACTAGAAATGTACGTGACATCCATCCAACAAGCTGTGGACATATTGCAGTCTGTGACATCACCGAGTTTAGTTTTAAGCTGAATTTAGCAATACTTCAGCAATATCACAGTTTGCTTCACACATTGTACCCATGTGGGGAATTGAACCCGGGTCTTCAGCATGACGATCGAACACCTTACCTACTAGGCTACACCCCCCACACCCCCTCTGACATCAGGCCACCACTAACTATTGACATTTTGCATCCATTGCATATAAAACAAGCATTGTCACTAAGGTGACATAATCCCCCGCCGCAAATCATCAAATCAAACTTAAAAAGTAATGAAAGTTTATCTTGCTCTTTAGTTGTTCAAACACACAAATATTTTCAAGACTGACTTTGACCTTGACATGAATGTCATAGTGTATGAAATATGCAAAAATGGTACTAAAGAAATTGCTTATTGAAAAACATTCAAGGGAAGTCTTGAAAGTCTATGAAGAAAATCCAGTGAATTCAGGTTAACATGCTGAAATCTTCAGTGTCGCAGTGACCTTGAAAATTATGTGAAGGTCACCAAAATTGACTGGGCCCTGTGCCTTCATTAGATGAAGCTTGGTGTCAAATATGAAAAAAATCCAGTGAATGTTTTTTGCGATATCTTGCCGACTATCTTAACATGCAATTTAACATGCTGAAATCTTCAAAGTGTCTTTGTGACCTTGAAAATTAAGTGTAGGTCACCAAAATCGACTGGGCCTGCACTTTCCCAAGATGAAGCTTGGTGTCACATATGAAGAAAGTCCAGTGGATGGTTCTTGAGATATCTCGCTGACCATCTTAACATGCAGGTTAACATACTGAAATCTTCAAAGTGTAGCTGTGACCTTGAAAATTAAGTTAAGGTCACCAATATCAACTGGGCCCTGCACCTTCCCTGGATGAAGCTTGGCGTCAAATATGAAGAAAATCCAGAGAATGGTTCTTGAGGTATCTCGCTGACAAGCATAACATGCAGGTTAATATGCTGCAATCTTCAAAGTGTCTCTATCACCTTGAAAATAATGTGAAGGTCACCAAAATCGACTGGGCCTGCGCCTTCCCTAGATAAAGCTTGGTGTTGAACATGAAGAAAATCAGGTGAATGATTCTTAAGATAGCTTAACATGCTGAAATCTTCAAAGTGTCGCCATCACCTTGAAAATTGTGTGAAGGTCACCAAAATCGACTGGGCCCTGCACCTTCCCTAAATAAAGCTTGGTGTTGAATATGAAGAAAATCTAGTAAACGGTTTTTGAGATATCTTGCTGACAAGAGTAAAATATTAAAGTCCCCTTGTGACCTTGAAATGAAGGTCAAGGTCACCAAACCTGACTGGGACCTTTCTTATACTGTGGTTAACCTAGGTACCAAATATGAAAAGAATCTAGTCAACGGTTCTTAAGATATTCCAATTCGCGTACGAACAGAACAGACGGAGCCTAATACTATATCCCCTGCTTCGCACTAAACGCGCGGCGGGTATCAAGATCACAAGTAGTGTAATGTCTGTTTTATCTTATATTTGAGTACCGGTGTGACAGGTTTGGAGTGAGGACTTGCGAGCAAGAGCAGTGATGTAAGCAGTGAGCGATTGTTTGTGTTGAAGGTGTGCAGTATGAGAGACCATTGTATGTATCTGGGTAGTAAGCTTGGGGTCAATCAAGCAGCTTGGGGGGTATATAAGGACTGATTTCAAGGTGTGAGTTGGCAACCAGTTGGACAGTGTATGTGTGTGTCAGGTTGGCTGTTTTTCCTGTATATTCAACTGGTGTGAGTATTATAATTTTATGTTATGTCTTAGTGAGAATAGGTCAATGAATTGTTTGTATATGTATTGAGATTTGATGGCATTTCACCTTAAAATATGTAACCTTAACTTAGGTGAAATATATGTAATAGTATTGTTGAGGTTAGTAATATGATGGAATTGTGATTTATATGAAAGCATTTGGGAATGTCCCTAAGCTAGTATACTGGCGTAATATTATTCAGTCAGCATTCATGTGTAATGTATAGTGGTAGTATTGTTTGTGTATGAAGTGACTGTAAAACAGCCCTGTAAACACATCATGTGTGTGTGAAATGTATATATCGTGTATGTGTGTTTTGTATCCAGTGTCCGGGGTAGGTGTTACACCCCGTAAGGCTGTCCCGCCGATCGTGAGGGATCGATCCTGACATGCCGCCTGTGATGTGAACTGACGTGTGTCTGGGGAGAGTGATGTGCCCCCCCAGTAAGGCTGTACCGACTGATCAGCAGGGATCAGAGTGACATGCCGCCGAAGTGTGTAAAGATTTACATGCAGGGGAAGGACCCCTACCCTACCACTACAGAACTGAACTGATGTGAGTTGTGATGTGAATGTATGTGAGTATATGTGAATGGTGAGGTATGATGTGCATGCTTGTGTGTTTAGGGGAAAGAGTGTGGGTGTGTTTGGTGATGCGAGAATGAAGTTGGGAATGCAAGTCTCTTTGAACTATTGTAAGTAAGGTAGATTTAGTTAATAAATTATATTAACTTTTAAATTTGGGTTTGTGTTTACTCTAGTATGTGACAGGGGGGATAAAAAACCTTACTACACTTGTCCCAATTAGATACTGTTTATATACATAACAAAACATAACTCAATCCTGCTTTCTCTATCAACACACATTTTGAGATACTTTCGTAAGTAAAAACAATTAGTGTGTGTTTACTGATCTACATCTATCAAATGGGACCTGTGAAGATCCAGGTTAGAATTGGTCTTCAGTAACCCATGCTTGTCGTAAGGGTGGTCAGGCTTGCTGACTTGCTTGACACATGTCATCATATTCCAATTGCATAGTACGATGCTCATGCTGTTGATCACTGGATTGTCTGTTCCAGACTCGATTATTTACAGACCGCTGCCATATAGCTGGAATATTGATGAGGGTGGCGTTAAAGAACAATCTATCAAATGCTGATGATTGTGTGTGTTCTGATGTGATGTCACAAGCTTGCTTTCACCATTGACTTCCATTATTTCATGCGGTGGAGATGCATATCAGGAAAACATGCTCTTGCACATGATCATAAATAAACAACACAAGAGACATATTTAATATGCTGATCTATAAAATGAATTTATTTACACATATTATTGAGGGTGTACATGATGAATGAACGTGCTATTCAATCTACAGCTGAAAAATACACTAGTGAGTGAAATGTTATGTACAAGATGTCATGCAACAGGTCATGAACCATGTGTCACTGTGAAGTGCCGCTACACGGGGCAACAATCACTTCGCAAAGAAATAAATTACAAATTTCTCTACATGTGGAAAACGTAACAAATGCATATGAAATACATCCAGAAAGTAAATGCATGTGTCCATTTCAAACAAACACTGACGAGATGACAGTGGCAACACAAACTGACAGCTTATTTTCTCAGCCTGAACACAAAACATGTCGACACTGAAATTAACACTCATTTGATAAACCTCCCCTTCATAGTCATTAACGAGTAGCACTAGTTATTGCAAGAAATGAGCATTTGATGTCAATATCATCCAACTTCTCTTCTCTGTAGTCATGCACCTTTAACAGCAGTGTCGTATATATACCTCACACTTTCATATTTCCTTCTTTATTCCCTTTTCCTTCAATCTCATTATGATCAGATCGGAGTTCTTGCTACCGCTAAACACAGATCCTAGGACAGTCAGTTACTGGTCATGTTAGAACAGCCTTTTATTGAACGAGTCAGAGAGTCGTTTACTAGATCAAGAAAGTGGACATCGGAACATGTCTACTGGGAAACAGTTAACATGGGCATTTCCGAATAAAAGATGCATGTTTTAAAATGGATTCTGTCAAAATCATCATCCTTTTCTTGCCTCAGAGAGATAAATATAGAACGTGGGAGGTGCCTTGCAATCTCTGCAATCTGTTGGACATTCCAGAATATATTTAGTGAAGTTTTTAAATATTAAACTGATTATTCCAAATCGTATTCTGGAATGGAAAGTTTCCAGTTTTTCAGCCAAGTGACGGCTGAAAAGCTTGAGACAGCTGTTCTCTATTTGAATAATGTCAAATTTCCTCATTTCACTAGTGGGTCACAGTCTGTGAAATGTCATTCTGATGTTACCAGTCCTGTGATGTCCTCATTTTTTGTTTATTGTTACGAGAACTCCGATCTGAGTTTAATGACATTGCACTTTCAATCGGCCAACATTAGCAACTCGGTAACAATTGTAACCAAACAAAGATATCCATCAACATTTTACCTTCAGAATCATTGGGTAAATCAACAAGAAAACTGACGACAGCAATAGATATTTTGCCATTTCAGGAGTAATGGAAGTACGAGAAGACGGGCCACAATCTTGTATCAGCATGAAGATTTTAAATACAGTCAATACCCTCAACATCTTATGCAATTAGGGTAAAACAAACATTGCATAATCAGTTATTGTAAACATCTTTTAAATACCTGGTTTCCTTGAGCAGTTTCTTAAAGTGGTTCACGATTACCACACAATTTTCAGTGACAACAATGAATGTTATAAATAATATTTAATCAGCATGCCTGCTATGAAATCTATCGAGTTATAGAGTATGGAAAACTGAAGTGACGGCATAGTGTCTAATTGAAATGGACAAGTTTAAATATGATATGATTATGTAACAACATGAAAAGGCCACTAGTTCCAGCCTGGGACAGCTAGTGATGCCATGTGACAGCTGTGAAATAGATGACATATGTACAATTTTACAATAATATACAACCCAGTCCCTCTTCATGGATCAGTATGTGGTACTGCCTTGCCCCGAAATGCTCATACCACTTGCACAGGTGCACATCATTCCTTTCCTTTGACTTTTGCCAATGCTAGGAGTGTGCCTTCATTAAGTATAGAATGTCATTTTGAGTTGTTAAGAGTAGAAGGTTGTAACCAAAATGGTGAGCTGGTACATATACAAATATCTTTGTAATACACCTTTGTATATCAAGAGAAACAGGTGAGAAAAAAGTTAACACTCAACACAATCATAAACTAGCATTTTTCAAACTGTAACTATGGTTTTATGTCGCTTTTAGAGAAATTCCAGCTGTATCACAGTTTGGTATACCAGAAATGGGCTTCACATGTATCAATGTGGGGAATTGAACCTGGTCCTTAGGCCTGACAAATGATTGCTTTAACCACAACCCCTCAAATTGAAAGAAATATATTTTGATAGCGAATGAGTATGTCTTGCGCTGCTTTAAGTAATACTCCAGAAATTTCATGACTAGGGACAACTGAAAAAGGCTCCACTCCTTGTACCCATGTGAGAATTGAACCCCAAGCCTTCAGTTTCACAAGCAAAACCTTCAACCACTTCCCTACCCAATTGCCCCTATATGCTCAGTGCCTTCACTCTTTAAAAAAATACAGTTTCTAAAAAAATAAGAAAGGCTTTTTTCTCTCCAATATACAGAGACCCGCAATATGTCTCTGAGGTCTGAAGTAACTACCTGTTTTCTTCCCTACAAATAGATCCTGGAATGAAGAAATGTAAGGCTTTGCCTTGGCTGAATAAAAAGAGAAAACACACGAAAACATACTAAAGAGGACTGAAATAAAAATACTATTGTTTTGTTGTGGCGTGAGAAGATATTTTTGTTCTCTCACCTAACCATATAATCCTTTGATATTCGATCACCTCCCCATAATCATAGCTGCCATAATGATCATATGCATAATACTGAGACCAGTACTTCAACAGTTCACAGGTGACGAGGAGTAATATTATGGGTAAGAAATTCCTGAAGCATTCAGGTTTCAGGGGACTCCTTGCCCTTTCATCAGGTAGGTGTGGTGACGAAGTGGCAAGAAAAGCCCTGAAATGTGTGTGAGTGTGTGTGTATGTGTGTGTGTGTGTGTGTGTGTGTAATAAATATTATGTATACCAAAACTCTTTGTAAAGTTTACATTCATCTTCTAAATGCCTAATGATTTCTAAGGGAAAATGTATTGTCTGCTCCTAACGTACGTAGTTTACTGAACAAAGCCATCTGCAAGAGTGATGCTTTTGACTTTCAGCAGGAACATATATTCAAGACTTCAGCAATCAGACAAAGTTGTCTGAGGACTAGGTTTATTTCAAACAATGCTCACAAACATATCTTCATGTCAACAAATCCAGGCACCATACTTTCAAAAGAAAATAAATTAGCACTTACAGGCAGTACCACAGATCTCTCACCCGTCAGAATATCATTGACTATTTAGCATGAATGATGTGGACCACACTAACGCATGATTCAATGGGTGCTGACACTTAATATCCTGTTAGAACCGCTCTCTCATTGACTTCAAGCGTTGCACAAAGAATGTTTCTAGGACTTCAGCACACTGGTAGAATGGTGAATCACTTGGGTTGTAGAAACGACAATTGTCAAAGATCTTGGTCACATCTTTAACAAAGTCGCTGAGTTTCTGGTATAATCGAGCATTGAGGCGTTTCTCCACTGTTGATAAATCTGAAGGTGAAGAATGTGATGTAGTCAGTCAAGAGAGAACTGAAACATTTGCAAAATATGTAAACAAATTCTGTGATCATTCCATACCTACATGTAGGAACTGTATAACCAATGTTGACACATCAGCGTTTCCAGCTTTGTTCTCAACGTCATGTTACAAACTAACAAACCAACACCTCCCTCTAGCCAGGACAAGCTCACAATAATTCAATATGAAACATAATCCATTTACTAATGACTGGAAGCAAATTTACATGGAGGCAGTTGGAAGTGACATAACACTTCCCGTATTGACACCAACAATGCCAGAGTCTCTCTCTCTCCCCCCCTGCTCTAAAATATTTCAATGTCTGTATCTACAGGGTTTGTATTCCTGCAAAGCAACACTAAGCCCTGGAGTTCTCGTACTTTCAAATGACCCATTTCTTACACAGACATAGAGCATGGTGTTTTTTTTCAACATGATGCGACTTGCCACATGCCTGTGTTTACAAGACAGATGTACAGAGGTCTCTGTTGTTCATACAAGAAAACATTCTTCACCAGGAATTCCTTGACAAGCTGTGATATGGTACCTACCCATTGGGTCTTTGACAACTAGATAGTAATCCGGTACATCTTTCGGGTCCACAGCTTCTAGGAAAGGCCAGGCCATCTTATGTGACTGAAAAGAGACAATTTATATAGTTTGAAATACATTTACATATTGTAAATATTACTAAAATCTAAATATTTTAGACATTTAAATACTTACCTTACCTCATGGTAATGTGCATATTACCGTTGCTCATCCGATACAAAGATTGGAAACATAATCGATAAGTATCCTTGTTGAATGCTATCATGAAACCAGTGACATGTTGATATTGTCCGGCGAGTGGAAGCACGTCCCCCAAACGAGAACACGTCACTTTATCCTTTATCGCACTGAGAGTTGGACGTGTATCGAAGTGTATAGGATATTTCTGATGCACATTACCATGAGGTAAGGTAAATTAAAAATTTACGAAACAATGAATCAATTGTATCAATTGCAATGACCTTACCTGTAGACTACGAAGGAGTCGCCGCAGGTTTTCATATTCCTTATCTGTAAGACATTTCTGTGCAATGGGCGTGGCCTGTTCCTTGTTGATGCAGTTGGGGCAGATGTAGGTGTCCATGCGGTCTGCCTCCAGCCGCGATACATTCACGCAGTGGCCGTGGAACCAGTCCTGACATCGGTCACATCCGATGTAGAACCTGGAGTATATGGAAGTACAGTTAATTCCATGTCAATCTATTTGTCGAAATGAACTGCAGTCTTCTAAGTGAGACCCTGAAGCATTTAGTCTTGGCCAGCAGCTTCTCAAGTCTTTGGTTCCTGATGTCAGCCTTGCAATTTTTCTTTGCAAAACACTGCATATGCTTACAACAGTGTAGCGCGCTTGGACTGATTAGTGACATGGACTACATGACTAGGTTCACACACGTTTGGACTTGGCACTCTTAAAATCTGTGCAAACCCTGCAGGAAAAGAGTCTTGAAACCCAGAAAGATGCCCCATCAGGGGTGGAAATAACCCATTGCCCGACGCCGGAGTCCAGTGTTTTATTCTGTCGGGCAAGCAAATTTGTATGTCACACTGTACCAGTGTCCAGTTGACTTTCCAATGTTATTTGTTCTTTATGTAAAAAATCAACAAGAAAACAGCTGGTAAAGTGGAAAAATGATCAGGGCAAGTGATTTTACATGTGCCACTGTACCGGAGTACACTAGCAATGTTACAGTTATTTCCACCCCTGCCCATAAAGGTACATCACTTGATGAACTTGACTGCCACAGTTTTAAGAGTGACTGGATGGCATATAACATGATCGGTTAGTCCCGTACTTCATAGTGTTCTAGGAGAACTATACCAATCCAAGTGACAAATACTACAAGCCAACTTACTGTGCTTCATCGTAAGGTGTTCGACACACACAGTACAGTTCCTCTGACGTGTTCTCCTGCTGCTTGCGACAGTCTTCACAGATGTACGAGTCTATTGAGCTGGCCTGGTTCTCCGTGATGCCCACACATGCTCCATGGAACCAGTTGGAACACAGGTCACATCCGATGTAGAACCTGCACAAAAACACCAGCATTAGAACTATTGTGGATCCACAATATCACACTGCCCGATTAAAGCCAAAATATGTCTCCATCAATGCATGCATAAGTCAGATCTGTGACATGACTGCTTCACCCTTGATGTCTCCTGGGTTGGAATTAATCCCAATTATTGCAAGTGCACACTCAAGCACACACAAAGACACCTGGATACCTCTTGATTTGTTGTTTTATAACTCAGTTAATCAGGACATGTCACTGTAGGGATATTCAGACTGCCTTTTGTACTCAGTATTCAGTACTTCATCCATTAACACTAAACAAATAAAAGAATCCCAAAGAAGCACCATTTCAAGCTTTTGATACTTATATTTACATCCTTTCCTTATGACAGACCATCAAAGTAAATTCAACTTACAAGGACACAAGACTACTCAATCATCTAAAACATAGACAAACATCGAAACGTAGATCTTGCCTAAGGTATATCAGTAACACAAAACATCAGCAATCCAAAACCAACATCAGTACTTATAAATGGGAAATAAAAGACTTAAATGAAAAAAAGAAAGAAAAAAAATATACTTATATAGTATACTTACTTTGAGTCATCATATGGAGTTTTACAAATACAATAGAGTTTCTCCTTAGGGTTGAAGGCACGCCCTCCACCAGTTGATATGATCTTTTGTTTGCGTTTCTTGGCTGCTGCTGTTTCGGGGTGAGACTGAGGGACGAGGGTCTCCAGCTTCTTCTTTCCCCCCACCAGGCTGGTGCCAGGAGGGAGTGTGCGCAGTGTGGACGCCGGCTTGGTCGGAGATTTGGTCTGCTTCTTCAGCTTGTCAGCTACCTCCATCTTTACACATAAAAAGGGGGAATATTCTTATAAAGACTGGGAGAAGAGGAACGGTTACACATTGCAATTTATTTCAAAGCAGACAGAAACACCTGGATGTATTAACTTATGCAACTAAAATACTGTGGCACAGTTATTTCATTCTGATACCTTAACGAAACTAACATGCAAAGTGACATTTTTGTTATTAAACTATAAGCAACATTGTAGTCTTGGTAGATACAAGTATATAATCTCTCTTGTTAATCCGTACACCCTATGCATGCCAGCATACACTTACACACATTCAATGCATTGAGTAACACATGACGGTACAATGAAACAGTCTGATACGTCCTGACTGAGAGGTGGTCACGTCGATCAGCCACACTTAGCAGCATCTCATCTTTACAATGGAGAAGCTTTCAGAGGATTTTTTTAAGGATCTCTGCCCTCTCAGCAAGGGAGAAACTTTTATACCAGAAGAATGACTTATTTCTAGACCTTATTACAATATATTTTGAAAGAATGGTTGCTAAAGATAAGGCTTATAAATGCACTATAAAGTGTAGGTATGGACATATACTCACAAGTATATCTTGCTGCAGGTTTTTCTCCATCAGGGTCCGCTTGCGCAGGATTTCCTTCTTGAGTGCCTCCTTGTGTTTGAAGAGTGCCCCCTGGAGTTTGGTTGCCATAACACGTTTCTGCTTCTCCTCCACCGATTCCTGCTTCCGCTGCCGTTTCTGTTCCTGTTTCTCTTCCCGCTCGATCTTGTCCAGGAGTGTCTTCAACACCTGGTTACACACTGACAGCCTGCAACAAAGAATACAACACAAATAATCACATTAGCTTCTTTGTACTTTAGAAATTAACCCCCCCAAAATACCAACATATAATCTTCAAAAGTGCCGACTGACAAAGTCTAACATGTTTCCAACATGTACTGAAAAGCATTACACAAACAGTTAGATATTGCAAATTATCAAGGTACAAATTCAGTAAACCATTGTCAACTCAACCAACAATCTGGTCAGTAACCATAACTTCATTTTCTTTCTTTTGACCTTGACCTTTTCATAACAAGGTACAAATAGCATTCTCTATGGCCATTTTAAGAAAACAATAAAATCTACAAATTTTGTTATAAATATGATAAACATGTAACTTTCTGAGTACAACAGATGGGAGCTCCGCTCATAGACTTGTTCGCCACAAGATTCAACAATCACCTGGCAACATTCGTCTCTCCAATACCAGATCCACGAGCATGGGCAACAGATGCTCTAAGCATCTCTTGGGAAGGACTAAACGCTTACGCGTTCCCGCCTCCAGCTCTAATACCGCAAGTGTTGCAGAAAATCATGCAGACGAGGAACCTGCAACTGATTTTGGTCGCGCCTTATTGGCCAGCGAGAATGTGGTTTCCCATTCTCATACAAGAACTAGGACCTCCTCAACTGCAACTACCAGAGTGGACGAACTTGCTAGTACATCCGCACACCAAGCAAGCACACGGGAACCCCACAGTGTTCCGCCTACACGCATGGACCGTATCAAGGCTTGCTTGAATAAGAGAGGATACTCCGCCAGGGTAGCGAAAGCGGTCACGCTAGCTTTATGCAAATCAACCCGCAACTTGTATGACGACAAGTGGCAAAGCTTTGAGACCTATGCTTTGAGGAAGGGCTTCACAGCCATGAAAGCGACACACCCTCAAGTGGCGAACTATCTTTGTCACCCTGAAGTGACCGCCCAACCGGATAGAGGAGAGAGTGGGGAGCAAGGCAAGGCAGGTCACGTGCCGGTTTTGGCGGGAGAAGGGAGGTAATTCAGGGTGAGTGATTGTACGTTCGCTCAAGGGAATTGAAGGGATTCAAGTATCCACTTGACCGTTTGGAAGAGAGGATGAGAAAGCAAATAAGCATGAGTCAGGATAAGGAAAAATTAACCAATATATGTTGCAAATGAAAATAATTACCAGTGGCAGTCAAACTCTAACAAAACATTAAAGCAGACCTCAATAAATTAGTTCTGTTTCAAGAAGTTGGCAGTGAAAGCACTATATTTTAGCATGATTCCCATTGCAGGCCAGAGCAAACTTGTCAGTGACTGACCTCATCTGGTCATCCTTCTGTTCCTGAGTGAGAGTCCTCTGTTTGGCTCGCGCCGTCTCAGTGGCCTGGGCCTGCTGGATCTGCTGTTGCTTGGTAACCAGCTGTTGCTGGAACTGAGACTGGAGCTGCCGCTCCTGGGACTGGAGTGTGCTGACCCCCACCGCCGGCTGGGTGGTCACCTTGACCGCCGTCGTGCCACCTTGCTGCTGCTGCTGGATCTGCCTCTGCATGGCCAGCAACTTGGCCTGGATCTCCGGTGTCTGATTCTGCATGAGGGCCTGGCGCACAACTGCAAGGAGAGAATGGTCTGTAGGGTTTTGTTCTGTTTGTTTGGCTGCACCGAGCAATATGAATGCAACCCGGACTTGACAATCCAGTGATTGATATTATGAGCTACAACCTGCAATGCTGGGATATGATGACAAGTAAGAAACCATTTCACACAGTCTGACTACCTGATCCAAACGTCACCTCTTGCAAGCAGCACGATATCAAACATTCTTATGGAATACTCTTTTGGATCATGGCGTGCTATGAATTGATTGAATACCTTCAAATTGAAGTAAATATCTAAACATGAATGACTTGTGTTTCTGAGTAATACCTTTGGTGCAGTATACATTGACTATTTACAGATACAAAAGTCATCAAAAGATGACAAATCCCCCTGGCCCATACAAATTTGAAAGAACAAATCATCTGACATTAACTTAAAGTTCAACTTGATTTGTTTTTGGCTAAGTCCAAATCGTTTCCATGGAAATTATGAAAAATATAAATACCAAAAATCTGCAAATAGCAAAAGGCACCACTTCAAGATCTGTTTGATATATCTGTCAAGAATTGGAGAAAGATATTGAATGGTTTTCAAGTTGTGCTCCGGAAATGAAGCCCAGCCCTCCCTTCCAAATCGTTTCCATGGAAACCAATAAAAATAAAAATGCCAAAAATCTGTAAATAGCAAAAGGCACCACTTTAGGTTCTATTGATATATCTACCAATTTTTGTTGAAAAATATTGAATGGTTTTTGAGTTATGCTCTGGAAACAAAACGATTACAGACGGACGGACAGACGAGGAGTCGAGTATATCCCCTCCACATTACATGCCGGGGGGATAATAATTTGGTTTATTATTCAATGAACACTACATGAAATGGCTGTTTACACCTATAGTCAGTTTCTGTTTCAAGTAGCCATTTGTCTGGAGATTGTATGTATTTTTGTATGTAAAATACTGTTGTATTCCTTACCTTGCTGCACCACCTGAGGAGTGATGGCGTACTTCTGAGCAGCCGAAGCAGCAGCTGATGGTGTTGGTGTTGCTGCTGCAGCTGCTGATGATGTAGGAGAAGTAACAATAGTCAGCGGTCGTGGTGTAACAGCCACTGTAGCTGACTGAGCCGGCAGTTGTGTCCGTACAGTTATCTGCGAGGTCAGAGGTCGAGGGACTGTTTTGGCAGTGACTGGTGATGTGATGATGGTTGGTTGAGTCGTTGACTGTATGGCTATACTGGGAGCAATGACAGTTGCCGCTGTTGTCACAACCGAGGGATTAGACGTGGAGGCTACCGCCACTGGCGTCATGGTTGGCAGTGTTGACGTCATCAGCGGCTTGATGATCTGAGTTGTAGTGTTGGGCATCACAGCTTGAGCAGACACAACTGGAGTGCCTGCCACCTTGGCGACTGATGTAATGATGGTGGGCTTAGCTGGTGATGTGGAGGCTAAAATACTCCCTCCTAATGTTCTTGTGGGCATTGAGAGAGTAGTGACTTGAGAGGCAACTCCCGACAGGGCTGCTGCTGCAGACACTACCCCTGTACTGGATATTGCACCTGCACTGGTCCCCGTCAACTGGGCTGGAACCATTACCCTGGTGGCGGCCACGCCACTGACCGCCGAGGTTCCTGGTACTGACGCAGCGCTGACCACAATGGTCTGAGGTCGTATTGCAACAGTTGGTCTGGCCTGGACCTGGGTGACAGTGGGGGCGGCGGAGCTGGTGGCCGAGCTAGCGGCGACGGCAGTGATGGGTTGGGCTGTGGCAGCTGTAGGTAGGGTGATGAGTTGGAGGCGGCCGTCAGGGAGACGGATGATCTGTTGACCTGGGGTAGTAATCACATATTGTAATGAATGGAGATAATAATCCAAAACTAAAAGTTAAAGAAAATATTCTCTTTATTAATGAAAATATTGAAACAATGAAAATTGCCTAAACCACCTTGAACAGTTATGATTGTCTAGAAGAAATTAGGTGGGATTATCAAATTGTGAAAGACATGTCTTCACATTCCATATATAAGCAAATTTTACGCCGAGTATAGAAATAAATGAAGGTTGGGAATACCATGTAGTATATGCCCGCGGAGCAAACACTTCAACCTCAAGGCTGAGACACACTCTATACGTAAAACAGCACAGTAAAAACTACCTGGAAGGAGTCCTCGGACCTGGAGCTGCCCGGATGGCCCCTGGATGATCTGGACGTTTTGGACCTGTCCCGGCAAGCCCTGGGCCACTACCTGGGGACGTATCTGGACCGCTCCAGGGAGGCGCACGGCAGCTGAAGAGAAGTGTGATGAAAAATATATCATGGAATATCTAGGACAGGTTTTTAAATCAGAACCTTATCAACTAGGCACCGATCATCTGTAGTTCACCTGCTTGTAGCAAATGACTGACTGTAATCATTAAACCTCCATCACTGTTATGTCTTTTGTTATTTTTTTTCTGTTGGGCACTGGATGCCGCAATATACCAGCTATATAAATTATAATTAAGCCAGCAATTCAACAATCAATACTTTCCAATAGACATCTAATTTTACTTAAGATAGATACAATATACAGACACAAGATGACTCATAAAAGCACAGTTTCACAGGAACATGTTTAATCCCTACTTTTAGGTGTCTGCACTTGTCCAGGTGCGATGAGACGTGCTGCTTGAGCAGTGGTTGTGGCAGTGGTCGCCATGGTTACTCCCGGTTTCGGTGCAAGAGCTACTGTTGATGTGGGTCGGAGAGTAATGGTTGTCCCTGGCAGCTGAACCTTCACCCCCGGGCGCACAGGGGATGCTGTGTCTGCAGGGAACATCAAACCATTACTTTCCTAGCTAAAACTACCATATGTTTAACGTCAAAATACGAGTTAGGTCTACTAGAACCATCACAAAATATGTGTTAGGTCTACTAGAACCATCACAAAATACGAGTTAGGTCTACTAGAACCATCACAACACTGAGCAAACAAACCTTGTAAGTTTTATACAAAAATATTTATGATTTGGTAATGAATCACAAACATATATTACTATTTTTCAGAAATAGTAAAGAGCTTTATAACCCTGTATCCAAACCATGCAACATAAATTTTGCAACAAATTCGTACATGTCTGTAAACAAATCAAAGTATGTTGACAACTAATACTTTGAGGCACTGTTCCAAAGCCTGAGTATGGCTTCTGGTATGTCTAGCAAGCAAAGGAATAGTTAACATCAAATTGAGGTGAGGTGAGGTGAAATTGGGTTTAACGCAGTACTTGAGAATATTTCACTCATATGACGACGTGCATGCGTGTGTATGTGCATGTGCGGCTGCTTGTACTAGCCCAGACTTAACTTGGTTTTATAGTGCTAGCCCACTGAGATACCATGCCCGCAGTGAAGCATGAATACCCCACTCAGACACATTATACTGACTCCGAGCCGACCAGTCCTTGTTGTACCCATTAATGCCGAGCGCCAGGCAGGGACCAACAAGTACCATATTTTAATGTCTTTTGGTATGACGCGGTGGAGGATCGAACCCCGCAACCTTCCGCTCTCCGGGGGGACGCTCTAACCACTACACCACGGAGGCGGTCACATCAAATTGAACACAAAGTCTGTCTATAACAAGGTTCAGGCCAGAAGACTCAATGTTCTTATTATAGACTAATCGGGTTGTACATAACATAATCTGTGAAGATCTCATCTCTAAACAAGGGACAATTGGCTATATCTAGCATTAAATAAATATTGTGATTATTTGATAAAGACATTTATTGAACATATTATTGTATCATCTCTTACTGAGAGCTGGATGCAATAATTGTCTTGGGCTGCATCTGAACTTGTTTGATGATTGTTGGTGTGGTGATGGTGCTCAAGCCTCCCGTGTTTGTCGTCAGAGTGATGGTCTTGATGGGTGTGGATGACGTGGATGTGGAGTTGATGATGCTGCTTGCTGTTGTTGTTGTTGACGTGGAAACTGTGATGACTCCAGTCTTGCCCTGTGCTTCCTGTAAGCGTTTCTGCTGCAGAGCAAACCTCTGCTGTTTCAGCTGCTGCTCCATTTGTGCTTTAATTTGAGCAGCGTTCTGTGTAGATGTTGTTGCTGTAGATGTTGTTGTGGTTGTCACAATAATGGTTTTCTCTTGTGATGCTGCCCTCTGTTTTTCCAGTCTGAAAAACATGATCAAGTTTTCACACTGTTCATCTCATACTGGGGCAGTGGGGTAGCCTAATGGTTAAGCCGTTCGCTCGTCACGCTGAGGGCCGGGGTGTGATTCCCCACATGGGTACAATGTGTAAAGCCCATTTCTGGTGTCCTCCGCCGTGATATTGCCAGAATATTGCTAAAGGCGGCGTAAAACCGTACTCGCTTATCTTATACTCTTCCCCACACTTGGTATGTTTTTACACAGCTTCAGCAAAGTTTCAGCAATGGCGGCTATCATACAATATGCACATGAGGGGATTCCAGCCCAAACACATTCTGAAATTTGCCATCAAACAGATGGCAACCTCTCAAAATTTCGATCTGGACCAAGCATTGTTTGGAGACAATGATATGTAATCAACAAAGTCATCGAGCATCACCATTGTTACTATTGTCACAGGGATAGAAATATTTTTTGTTGTAAGTGTGCCTTAGGGCACCAGACAAATATTTTAAGCGTGCCTTTCACAAATCAAGTGTGCCCACTTGTTTTTAGAATAAATGACAATGATGATGATTTTGAATTTATTGTTAAATAAAGAAATGGGTTTATGAGCATTTAGATATGTAGGGCATTATTCAATTTGGAAAAAAATGATTGTTTGGGGGATTAAATGATTAAAGGTGAGTTATGTTTCCAAAAAATTAGGCATGCCATAAGGGCACAGAGAACAATTTTTAACCATGCCATTTCAATATTTATCATGCCATGGTACGCTAATATATGGGGTATTTCGAACCCTGGGGAGTATTCTAACCTAAGCAACAAGTGTTTGCCACTAATATGGCAATGTCCCCCGCTGCTAAAGAAGAAAGAAATATTTACTATATTTACTACTTTATATTTTTTGGTCACATACAAGAAATGACTGGTGTCTGCAAACTAACCCAATGTAGGCTGCTGACATAATTGAAGACATTGGGTGCAATGTTTCATGAGATATTGTGTTTACATAAGTTTGAAAAGTGGTCAAAGTGTCGTGGTATGTTCAAGGTCACCCAAATCAACTGGTGTCTGCATAATCCCCCAATGTAGGCTGTCACCAAATTTGAAGACATTGGGTACAATAGTTCAAGAGATATCGTATTAACAAGAGTTAGTTCAGTGGTCAAAGTGTCATGGTGACCTTGAAAATAAGGTCAAGGTCACGAAAATCGCCTGGTGTCTATGTAATCCCCCAATGTAGGCTGTCACCAAATTTGAAGACATTGGGTACAACAGTTCATGAGATATCGCGTTAACAAGAATCGGGACGTACGGACGGACGCTGCTGAATACATAGTCTCCCCGGGGTCTTAAAATAAGCTTGAAGTACTGGGGCAATATTTCGGTGCAGAAATATCACTGTGGAACAGGGCAATAAATCACTATGAGGTACAAACGAAGAGCTTTATGAATATATAGTAACGAATGCGAATATGAATTCATGCATACTTAATGTTTACTATCAAGGAATAAAATAACATATCTGTCATGTACTTGCTTACATTGAAACATTTCAATGATATTTTCTGTAAAGCAGAAAAGAAATTCATCACCAATAATGCTGCATATTGCCCAATGACAGTGTCACAAGAGGCCTTGGCAAAACAACATAAGTTACGCTACTGCATTTCTTGGATAGATTCCATTTTGCATATCTCACCTAGATAAACAAGAAACTAGATTAAATGTGATTCTAGTGACCCAGAATAATGAATTGAATCCATGAAGGGATACAGTGTTGATTCACTGAATACACGCATGAATCATGACAGGACTACTGGGAGGCAATAATTGGGCACAGACAGCACTGGGTTCAGTTCCTAATCACCAGCTGGTCTCTTGTTGCTTATGATTAAAGGCACATCCAGTCAAAGTTTGCTCACTTTTCCCCGAACTGTTTGATTTCCCATAAGTCCAAGTCCTCCTCTGGGACCCAAGTTTCTGTCACGCTTGGCTCGGTCTGTTTTGGAGATTCTGGTCTCTTCCTTTCTCTCAGTCCACTTCGCTGAGGTGTGTACTTTTCTGTGAAATTGAGAGAACAAAGTTAGCAACTTTCATCTTGTTTTGTACTTGCACTGGTTATTATGTGTTCACAAACTGAAGAGTCACTCCTGAACGCAGAATTGGATAATTCCATAAGAAATGTTCCGAATCCAACAAAAGAAATGTTAAACATGATAACTTCTAGTACATATAGATACTAGGCCTAAATACAAAGGCCCAAACAATGTTTTAGGGGTACTGAAAGGTTATTATTAAACTCCCAAAATCCCACAAAGGATAGACCTGAAATACGATATATTTTCATTATGTTCACTGCTTTACTTCCAACTGTGATAAATTCAGAAACACAAAGTAAAATCCATTACATAACAATGGACATAAAAATCGCCAAAGCTCCTGATAAGGGACCGTTCATAATTTATGGCTGGGGGTGGGTGTGTGTGTTTTGTTTGATGATGGTTTTTAAGGGGTGGGGGTGGGGGTAGTGTGTCAACCATTTTGTTCTGGGGAGGTCAGCAATTTTGTACACATGTTCCTAGGGGGGTCAGCAATTTTGTACGTAAAAATATTTTAAACATATGCTTTAAAATATGGGAAGGGGAAAGGGGATGGGAGGGTGTCATTGACTTTGTACATGACATGCAGGGGATGTGTGTGTGTTTCACTTCCTTTGTACATAACCTTTGGGGAGGTCATTCAAATTGAACATCCTTCTCCATAAAAATCATTATCACCCCCTCTAGTCATAAAATATGAATGGTCCCTAACTGTGATCTGTGTAAATACTGCAAAACAGATCCCCATTACCCGGTGAAATTTGTGTCACTTGTGTACAAAGAAGCACATTTGTTGAAAAATACAACAGCATAACTACACTGTGCATAATTACTCGATGTATCAATCATGCATGTTCCCATTTTAATCAGAATTCTTAAAAACATGTTTACTAATTGTTGCATAAATATCCTACAGACTGGAGTGAGTGAGTGACTTTAGTATTACACAGCACTCTGTAATATTCCAGCTATATGCGGCGGTCTGAACCAGACAATCCAGTGATCAACAGCATTAGTTTTGATCTACGCAATTGGGATACAATGACATGTGTCATCTGAGTCAGCATGCCTGACCCCCACGATCTTGTTAGTCACCTCTTAAGACAAGCATGGGTTACTGAACAACAATTCCAATCCAGAACTTCATGGGTCCTACAGACTTGATTGAAGGGAGTAAACAAATAAAACTATTAACAACCTATGTGAATGACTTGTCAACAATCAATGACTGAAATAAGTACAAGGAGTCTGAATCACATCTTACCTTTCGGCTGAGTTGGTACTCCAATAGGAACAACAATTTTCCTGACCAGGAACTCGGACCTGAGACCATATGGTCCTACATCTCTACGCTTCAACAACTCAGTGGTGGTTATTTCGGTCTCCGTGGAGACAGTGTTCGTTCCGCCTGCAGGTGGTTTGACTGCCACATCGTCCCACCTGATGCAGGACCACAATATCCTGAGCTGCAGAGCAGCTGCCGCTAAGGACTTGATGGTCTGAGTCCGGAACCGCCACGCAGTGCGGAACAGGGGACGGGGACATGGATAAATCCAGTTCACATTGTTCATTTTACAGTTATAATTAAATCCACTGGCCTCTCTATTGCTGCCTTTTCGAGCCATCTTCCTGAGGTCATGCCTCTCTAGAATAAATATGCTTTTTTTCTTGGTGGCATTTTGGAACTTTTGGCACACAGGTAAACTAGCCTTTTTCAAGCTCTTAGCTGCCCCACGTTTACCAATCTTTGTAAATTTTGCAAGTTTGAACTTTTCTGTGCTTTTCCGAACTGGAGGCAACTTAGCCTTGAGATCGTCTATGCTCATTTTGGAAATTGCCTGTTGCAAGGCTGAATGTGCTTGTGAGAGGTTGACTCCTGCACGGTTTGCAAAGAGCTGGGCCACTTTGGCGGGTCAGAATTTATCAAAGACTTTGCAGTTGTGCTGCCACTACTTTCTCCTTTGGAATCTGATGAAACGGAAACACTGCCACCAGTACCAGCATTGCCTCCAGAAATGATGATTGTCTTTTTGTCGTCCTCTGCTTCTTTTGGAACAGGAATGGATTTGGATGAAGCATCATTACTTGAATCATCTTTGACTGCAGACTTGAGAGAATTGATGAGATCAACTGATGAGCCATTTGACTTGTTATCTTTGTCCCCTTCGACATCGATCTCCTCATCCTCCATACTGATGTCGATGTCAGGGGGGACCCGCATCCTCCATTTTGATACTGTCCTCACCAGGCTCATCCTTCACTTTGGACACATCCAGATCTGGACTAGACAGCCTCTCCTTCCGACACACTGGGGAGTAACACCATTCGCTACCTTTCGTCCTGCATAGCAACGAATAACACATACCCTTATACCCTTTCACATCAGGTTTCAGATCCAAACCATTCACCTCTGGTGATGATTTCTTGCAATCTCCAACTTTGATTTTTATATCAGTTGACTTTCCATCTTTGCCTGACTGCCATTTCAGCTTCCAAGCTATCTGCTGCTCCAAAGCCTGCCTGTTTTTCCGCTCCCATTCATCTTGCTTCTGTCTGCGGTCAAGCAAGCTGTCCAGTTTAGCATATGGCTTTGTCACCTTAATGTAGTATGTCCTCTCCAACATTGCTTTGCCTACATCAATCAGATCCACATCCACTTTGGGGGGTAGCTGTTTCTGCAACTCCTGAAATTCTTCCTCCAATTTCTCATCTTCATCCTTCTTCTTGTTCTTCAAATCTTTCTTCCCCTCTTCCTCAACTGTTTCATCTTTGCTTTCCACTTTCACTTCATCCGTTTCCATTTTTTCACTTGTTTGATCAGCTTTTGATTCCTCTTCGCTTTTGCTCTGAACCTTTTCCTTTGAATCCTCCTTTTCAGAATCTTCAACTTCCATCTTCTCACCTCCTTCCTCTTTCTCACCTCCTTCCTCTTTCTCACTGTCCTTCATCGTTACATCAGCATCTGTCTCTGGATCTTCTTCCTTCACCTTGCTCTCTGCCTCAACGCTGCTTTTGCTTTTCAACAACTCTGGGTCTTCTTTGTCATCCACAGACATCTTCTCAGAAGCCTGAGCCATTTTTGATGCTTTCAAAGCTTTCTTCTTCCTTGCTCGGAGTTTAGCAGCCACACCACGGAGTCCTACAGTGTCTTGAGGAACAATGCTGTAATTCCTGACTGAACTATTCCAGAGCCAGCCATTGCCTCCTGTAATTCGGTACTCCTCTCCCCGTTGTTTCCACACCTGTTGGACACACAATACATTTGATGGTTTACATTCTGAATAATAATATTTGATCAGTTTCCATCGATATAATCATTTTTATGAAAGCAGTAAAAACATTATAATATAAAGATTGCATGTTTCAGAACTGCCATGAAACAACCATAAAATCAGCATGAGTTCTCCATTTTGCTGATTTTGCTTAATTTGTGGTGAATCATAACTAAATCAACTAGGTCAAAGGGCATATAACAGCACTATTATTCCACTCAATCCATGACTTATTGTTTATTGACATATGTCACTGCTACAGGCGGAGAAAAACTCCTAATATAAGACATTCTTGTTCTATTTCCATCGGAATCTTTTGCAAACCAATGATCAGTCTAATAATGTTAACACTCATCACTACCAAATGAGTGAGTTTAGTTTATTTTACGCTGCACTCAGCAGTATTCCAGCTATATGGCAGCGGTCAGTAAATAATCAAGTCTGGACCAGACAATCCAGTGATCAACAGCAATTGGGAACTGATGACATGTGTCAACCAAGTCAGCAAGCCTGACCTCTCGATCCCGTTAGTCGCCTCTTACGACAAGCATAGTCGCCTTTTGTGGCAAGCATGGGTTGCTGAAGACCTATTCTACCCCGGATCTCACTACAAAATGAAAAAACGTTTTCTTACTGAGAGAGATACAGTAGCAGTACAAAATGCAAATACATGATCAAAGTTAGACCCATTTGAGTACAGTCAAGCGAATATCATAAACATACTTGTACAGACACATTTGTTGAAATCTTCCTAATGCAATACAACACTATTACAGGACTGCCATTAACAATGTCTGTTAGCTTGTTTTCTAAAGATATCACTCAGAAATATGCTATAATAATGGCAGCCAGCACATAATTAAGGTTGGACGTGACCATCCAGTGATTGACATCATCAACTGATGCAGTTTGAATCCAAAGACAAGCACTAGCCTGTCAAACAGTGGTTGCACAAACCAGATCTTCTTTATAGTTTGTTATTTAGCAACATGTTCTCATTTCACCATCAGAATGCTACAAAGATGAATCAATTATCAGGTAATTCTAAAACAGTAATCCCCCAAAAGAGTTCCTCTCCATCTCTGTGCATGTTACCTGATGTTTTAGTCCCAGGGGGTACTTGATCCACACCAGTGGCTTGCCCTCATCTTCCTCTTCCTTCCTCTTCTTCACCTCTTTCTCCCTCTTCTTCATCTCCTCACGATCAGCTGTGGTGATCCTCTGTAATCGACTGTGACCTGGGAGAACAGCAGCCATAGGTCAGACAAACAAGGACGAAAAACTACACGACAACTAACATTTCCATTAATATGTTTGCTGTTTAACGCTGTATTTCAGCAATATTTCAGCTATATGGCGATGTTCTGTAAATAATTGAGTCTGGACCAAACAATCCAGTGATCAACATCATGAGCATCGATCTACACAATAGGGATGTGATGACAAGTGTCATCGAGCCTGAACACCCCATCCCGTTAGTCGCCTTTACAACAAGCATGGGTTGCTGCAGACCAATTCTAACACAGATCTTCACAGGTTCTTTCGATTAATAAACAGACAGTACCTAGAGCTTCAGTCCACACAGGGTTGCAGATAACTGGTTTAATGCAAGCCTCTAAAATGGCTAGAGCCAGACCGAAGTCCTGTGGGTTCTGACACATGTGGACAGCCTTCTGCCAGTTCTGTCGATGAATGGGCCAGTTTGGATGTAGGAACGGTGTGTGGATGTTGTTCTCCAGCTGAGTGATGCTCAGTCTCAGTGTGGACACTGTCAACATCCTGTTGCCGAACACTGTGCCGTTCCATTTAAACTCGCTGGTCGGCGTCATGCTGAACTTGTGTGATAGATGCCTGCGCTTGTCACGCTCCTCGTTATGCTGGTGTTTGTTGAGGGCCAGGGTGTTTGTGGAATACTGGTTCGTGTACAACTTGTAGTTACCTTCATTACCTGCAATGGGAGTTAGTGGGTGAGATGGGTTCTACCGTGCTTTAAATAAGAATTCAGATATCTCACAACATGCCCACATAGTAAAAGTGAGCGAGCCTGTAAGTTTAGATTTACACTGCTTTAGGCAATATTCCAGCAATATCATGGGTGGGGGCACCAGAAATGGACTTTAAACCATGTACCCATGTGGGGATTAGAATCTGGGTGTGATGAGCAAACATTTTAACCACTAGGCTACCCTACCGCCCCAGTTTTGGTAGAAAGCATGGCTACTGTGTACTGCTTAGACCCCAAACATCACATCCACAATTCAATCTAACACATGTGTATACAAGTGTTTGCCACTGATATGGCAATGTCCCCCGCCGCTAAAGAATGGAATATTTATAACACATTTACTACTTTTTATTTTTTGGTCACATACAAGATGCCTGAAATGACTGGTGTCTCCATAATCACCCAATGTAGGCTGTCGACATAATTGGTCAAAGTGTCGTGGTGACCTTGAAGATAAGGTCAAGGTCACCCAAATCAACTGGTGTCTGCGTAATCCCCAATGTAGGCTGTCACTAAATTTGAAGACGTTGGGTAGAACAGTTCATGAGATATCGCGTTAACAAGGGTTTCAAAAGTGGTCAAAGTGTCATGGCGACCTTCAAGATAAGGTCAAGGTCACCCAAATCAACTGGTGTCTGCGTAATCCCCCAATGTAGGCTGTCACTAAATTTGAAGACATTGGATACAATAGTTCATTAGATAACGCGTTAACAAGAGTTTCACAAGTGGTCAATGTCGTGGTGACCTTGAAAATAAGGTCAAGGTCACCAAAATCGACTGCTGTCTGGGTAATCCCCCAATTTAGGCTGTCACCAAATTTGAAGACATTGGGTACAACAGTTCATGAGATATCACGTTAACAAGAAACGGGACGGACGGACGTACGGCGCTGAATACATAGTCCCCCGTTGCGGCGGGGGACAAAAAGGCACGGAAATTTACTCAGGTACATATGACACTTTAGAACACTAAATAATGCTTGAAATAATTACTCGCGCTCCTGAAACCTTCATACTGGCGGGTCCCTCAAATCCCATGGGTCATTACATACAAGATTACCACAAGCAGTTTTAGTTCTACTATGTTTAGATTTTCAAATTCTGTACCTACAGCCTTTCTTTATATCATTTTCTCAAGATACCCTTGACTGGGCCATGTTATAAGAAATAATAATTTTGTTACAAACTTCTTTTTATAACAATCCTTTCACAATAATGTTTTCTCTGCAGATAACTTTTACATTCAAAGAAATAAAACTAAGACACAAATCTTTGACCATATATTACCAAAAACATCACTGACCCAAAAAGAAATAGTTGAAACTACATATTAGCAATGACCTGCATATTTAACCACCAATGGACTTATCTCCAGGCATTCGGGTTTGGCTCCTTCAGCTATGGTGCTCCACAGTTGTGGAATCAACTCCCGACTGAACTCAAAATGTCTCCCTCCATTGACTCATTTAAAAGTTCCGTGAAAACCCATCTTTTCAGAAAATATTACAATCTATAACTTAACTTTCCAAAATTTTACCCTCGTTCTAGCATAACCTTTGCTTTGTAAATATTTGTAAATATGTCGCGCTTTGAGCATGCTTTAGGTGTGGAATTCAGCGCATTATAAATACACATCTTATTATTTACCTACATCACGCTTCACAATTTAGTTTTAGCCACACTCAGTAATATTCTAGCTATATGGCAGCGGTCTGTAAATAATCAAGTCTGTAACAGACAATCCAGTGATCAACACCATGAGCATCGATCTACGCATTGGGATGTGATGACATGTGTCAACCAAGTCAGCAAGCCTGACCACCCGATCCTGTTAGTCCCCTTCTACAGAATGAGCACTCTTCACAATTAATGGGACGTACCAAGTCGGAAATACTGTGAGACTGTTGCAGAAGATGCCATGATTGAACTCTTGCTTCGAGTGACTCGTGTTATCTCCCCGTCTCGGTTTATGACTAGAACATCATCCGCTGAGGTTTTCCCACTACTCTTGAATGAGGACGTGGTTGAGGTCACAGAATCGGTAAACTGTTTGGGGGTCAAAGAACCAGTTTTGGATCGGGTCAGTATTTTCCGTGTTTCTAGAGCTGAAATCAAATGAAACAAAATAATGTAATGAATAACATGAAACAAATATATAATCTCAAATTAGGTGTGATCCACTAAATATAGCTTGTTTTATTGTAAAGAGTTGTCTACCATATAACCGTTACAATCAGAGTGAGTCGGGTTTATCACTATGGAAAGAAGGAATACTAGACGGAATACTTGGCACAATGTAGCCATTGGTTCGCAACAAAGATTTAGACAATTTTACCAGGACAGTACAGGGCCTAGATTTTCAAAGCTCTCTTAGCGCTAAGATAGTCGTAAGTTAATGTTAATGTATGGCACTTACGACTATCTTAGCGTTAAGAGAGCTTCGAAAATCTAGGCCCAGAACCAGTACCAGCCATGCAGCCCGTATCAGTTAGTTAATTTTGTGTATACAAGTTACAAGAGTTTTACAGTTAAAAAACCCTGGTTATATGGAGATCGCGTAGAGCGGTAATGTCTTACAGAGACAAAACACTAAAAATGTCAACAAATCGCAGAGGACATTAAGAAGTTTAACAACTGTATTTCAGCAATTTCATCAATCCTTACAAAGGAATGGTCAAATCATTGAAATGCTGTAGTAACAGGAATTGTGCAGGGCTTTTGAATATGGGTGTCTTCTTGACTCCCTTCCTCTATTCAAGGGAGTCATGTGCAATAAATAGGGGTCATTCTTTCAAATCTTGAGAATCAGCTGATTCAACCCAACAGCAAAACTAACTAGAGTATTTTCAAAACAAATTGCATTAAACAAACCAGATTTCTGTGTCATCACAATCCTTAAAACAGTTGATATTTGTTGAGGTATTTTGTGATATTGTCAGTAGGGATGTCACGACACAGAAGTTTCATGAATCGATACGTATCACGATACCCATGTCACGATTCAATGTATCACGATACCTATTTTTGCAGCATTATTGCGTAAATTTAATTACATTTTTAACATTAATATTTCATATTTTATAATTGTCCATGAAAAGATCAACATTTTTATTCTCAGAGATATAAAAGTTCTGGATCGATAATGGTATCGTCTTAGAAAAAGTATCGATGTATCGTGGCATCCCTAATTGTCAGTTCTCAAATAAGTTACTATTTGTTGAAGAGTATTGTGATACGAGTGGTAAGGTCAGTTCTTATCATGACATGCATTGTATTGTGTACTCAGGTGATCCTCAGCTCCAGCTGCACTGCACATACCTGACGCACTGCTGGTGGTGGACGTTGTGGTAGTAGTTTTCTGCCCAAGGACAAGCGACTGATCTTTAGACCCATCAGCCAGTGGCTGTGTTGCAACTGACAAGGTAACTTTCCCGCCTTCGCGGTTCACAACTAGAACAGTTTTAGTCTGGGGACTTCCATCCCCAGTCTTCTCATCCAGTGTCTTTAACAAACTGGTCTTGGCGTTGGGGAAAACAGACTGAAGGCTGACTATGGAGGGGTTATTTGTTGATTTTTCACTTTCTGTTTCCGACTTGCTTTCCGGCGCTCCTTCCACGGAGTCAGACGTGGGCTGCTCAGTACCTGACTTGTCTTCTGCCTCAGTTGAGCTGCTGTTGATGGTCTCATTCACAGGATCTGAGGTATCCATCTTGTCTTCCGTGTCTTCAGTATCAGATGGTTTGAGCCCTGTTGATGACACCGTGAAGGTGGTGGACTTGATGGTGGTTGTCTCAGTTTTCTCTGTAATCTGTTGTGTTGTTTTGGTGATGCCGTCGGGGCTCACAGCCCTCACAGTCATGGCTGACGTGCATGTAGTTGTAGTGGTTGTAGATGCTGCGGTCACTTGAGTAGTCTCCTGAAATATGTATCAAACATGAAGGATTGATCAACTGTTTACAAACAAAATCAACATACATGGAAAAAGACCATCAGATTCTGCCTGATACTTAGAATCAGTCTACTTTTCCATACCAGACCTCAGCTTCGTGTGACTTGCTGTAATGACTACTTGTATAACAAGGGAGCACAGTCCGGCAAGACATGGCAACGATGCTAAACAGTATCTGTAGTGTTTGCCACTTGTTTTATCTGTTAATCAATGTTGACAACATTTATGACATTCTCCAGCTGTTCATCTAATCTGGGGGGCGGTGGGGTAGCCTAGTGGTTAAAGCGTTGGCTCGTCACGCTGAAGACCCGGGTTTGATTTCCCACATGGGTACAATGTGTGACGCCCATTTCTGGTGTCCCCCCCCCCCCTGTGATGTTGCTGGAATGTTGCTAAAATGGGCGTAAAACCAAACTCACTTACTCATCTAATCTGGAACCGGATACTGTACTCGTACATGTGCAATGCCAGTACTAAATCAAAGTGTGAAAGGTAGCTAAAAAGCACATGTGAAGTGACATCTTTTGAATGTTTGATAACTTAATCTGTGGCATCAAAAGTAAACAGTATCCGGTCTTGTCCCTCGAGACTGAATAACGATACTGATAGTGAGACGCCTCTCTGTACACCATAACTACACACCATCATCGGACTAATCCCGTCAGTTCTTTCATTAAGTTGGCCATCGTTCTCAGCCCTGTGTGCTGCTTCAAATTTCTTCTGTTCTTCCTTCTGCTTCTCTTCCTCCTCTTTGGCTTTCTTCTCCACTTCCTCCTGGGCCTTCTTCAGTGCTCGGTCCGCTTGTAGCTTGGTCAGCTGAGCTGAAACAGAAATTTATAGGGTCATTAGGTGACTCAAAAACTGTTTCCTTTGCTTTATATTTTCTATAAGTTTTAAAAATATTAATGTGAAAAACATGTCAACAAAAAACAAAGGATCGTCATGGCAATATAGTGTTTTCCAAGTGGTGTGGAAGTATATAAAACATCCATCTTGAACCTGAAAAGCTGCTTGTTGCCCCTTCATTAAGTGAATAAAAAGAATAGTAAAAAAAAACACAATTAAAATCATAACATTTAAGGCATAGTGTGAAATTTCTTACAATTTTAACAATTACAAAGTTAAAGCCTAACAACAAAAGTCTGTGGTCTCATACAACAGTACAATTTCTAGTCATTTGTTGCAGACTTTGGGTTGAAAATTGGCAAATCTCTGGAAATAGATAAATCACTGGAAGCTGCATAAGATCTAAGCTACTTACTTGTTTCCACTTCTAAGGATGATTTCTTGTTTCCTCTGGCTGTGTTTGTGAGCTCATCTGTAATGGTCATCTGTTTGCAGATGTCGTCTCGCATCTCGTGAAGAGTGGACACAAGGTCACGCTCCCAGTCCCGCCCGTCCATGACCTCAAACAATTCATCGATCTGGGCCTTGGTGCTGTAGTACCACACTTCATTCTCCCCTTCACTGAAATACCAAGCAGTCATACAGAATACTCTTGACATGATAACCATGCAGAAAAGTGATGTAATAAAAGCATGTTTCTCAATAAACATAAGTCAGCTCATCCAAGACTTGCAGCATTCAGGGGAGACTATCAACATTTCATATGGACTAAAATTTAATACCATTGGGTAGATTGCAACTCTGTTGCATGCGATTTATTGAGGGCAAGTGAATATATATGAATTAATTTCTAACCCTTCCTAATGTCCTGAACTGGTTCGTGAAACTACAACCCGAAGGGGCAATTTCATTTAAGCATATTATTGTAGGACACGTGATCCTGCTTATATGATGGATGTGATAAAAGCAATTCTCATTTGTTTGTTATTAAGCATAAATTAACAAACAATACATACACAATGAGTCTTCTGATGAGAAACCAGTACTTCCTCCCATGCCTGTCAAACCCAAACGGTTCTTGTCGACAAAGGAGGCCACTTTTTTCAGCCTCAGATATGCAGTCAGTAACACCTTTAACCTATAATGAGAGAACAAATAAGCATTAAAATTCTAAACAACAATCACAATAAATGTTCACCATTATGGACATCGAACTTTCAAAACATAGCAGTCCATATACAGTAGAACTGATCATGGTCAGTTTCAGTAGATTGGTCAAGCCTCTTGAAGGGTGAGTGTAAGCACAGGGTTTAACACCGCTATAAACCCTACTTCAGTTGCAGCACCAAACTTTTCTTGAGTTGTCATACCATGAATGAAAACTCCTTAATCTACACATTTAACATACACATATAAGCCATAGGATATATATATCGATCAACAAAAACATCAATGAAATATTTGCATCCTAGCTTTAGAAAAACCACGACCTTCCTCAGGGAAAATAGTTCTTTCAAGTTATAAACTGCATCTGTCCCAGTCATCTAAGGTACTGTAATTCTTCTGCAGAATAGGGTCCTTCAGCACGGCAGTAACACATCACTGTAGATTCAAATCCCATTTTGCCTTGATTATGTTTCTAGGTTTTATAGCGCCATAGTCAGGCTGGCAGGTTTCATCAAAGTGGTAAACATCCATATGCATCACTTTGGGCTGCCCTCCTTCCTAAAGCTGACATGCTGTGGTTTAACTGGAATACTATTCTAAGCTGCGTTCACCCAACTCACTCATCTCATGTTTAGGAATAGGATTAAATAATTATCATCATGATTATGTAACCTATCTAAAACATACTCTGCAAAACAAGACTTCATATTGATTCTTTTTGTGATCTTACACAAATTTGCAGAAATACTGAGAGTGTTCTAAAGTAAAGCATGAAAATCAACGGGTCCTTGTCACAGGCCTAATCATGGCGATGTAAAAATGGAACTATTTAGGAGTCCCTTGATTCACATACTACCCTAATAATCATGATAATCCTCAAGGGTCTGAGGAGCCTTGTCAATTATGATCAGGTGAGGATGGACAAATATTTCACATTTCTACTACCTGGTGAGCTCGACAAACATTGCAGAGCCAGTCGTCGTCAGGAACCTCTATAAGGGGAGGATCTACACATGCCAGGTGATACACGGCGGAACAGGTCTCACAACACAGCAAATCACCCAACCTGAAACACATTATCAGTTACCAGTATCAGAGTTCCAGAAACAATCTGCCATTCTGTTATAACAGTCCACCGGTCAGGACAGGAAAAACTCAGGGAGGATTAATCATACTCCCTTGTGGAAGTAACCCAAACTGTTTACTACTAGGAAAATGCAACCCTGTACAACTTGCAGATCATATTTTCAAAAAAGTTGAAATAGACATTATTTTATAACCCTGAATATGGAGGGCTTGATTTAAGGAAATAAAACCACTTGCACTCTGTGAAACCTTAGGTAATTACCTTGTTGCACCAGACAAAAAGAGGTTGCACCTTCTGTTCAAAATAAATCATATATAATGCTTGTGTTTTGGTATTGGTGATTTAGAACATTATTATCACAACACTATTCTGGGTATGATCAGATGATTTTATCTCACTTCATAGACTTGAATAACATGAACAGCGAATGTCATTCAGTCACTGTCCATGTAGATCAGAGTCACTGCACTAGACCAGTTTCTCATCATTCTGTTTTCCAGCTGTAGTCTTTGTTCAGCAACATATTAACATGTACTGAGTGCAAGTTGGTACAAATATGGCTGTATTTTGCTGTTTCAGGTTGCACTAATGCAGGTTTTAATGCTTAAATCAAGCCCTGAAAAGCCATGCTTGTCTAAACGTTTGTATTGGACTGAAACCTATCAGTTTGTCAAGAAGTAAATGACTTCCCTTGCAAAGTTGTAGTTTGAACTTTGAAATGAAAAAGCGATGTGTTATAAACATGACAAAGAAATACAAATTGTATCAAGAATAATATTAACATATATGGTTGTCTTAAGTTTAACATGCTAAAACTGTGAGTGAAAATTGCAAGGGAGCCAGAAGGCAATTAAATTATTATGCTCATATTTGTATATGAAAGTGAATTACCAAAAATAAGAATGAGGTAACAAATGTGTCTGATTTGCTCATGTTTAAGTGTGGTGATATACTGTAACTGTCATCAACAGAGGTATTAATAAATTAAAGAAGGAGTCCTACTCCAGTCTGGAATGACTGGGCAAGTCTAGGTTGCCTCGCAGCTTTTGGCCTGAAATCAAGAACTCTTCTGGGCTCCTTTTGGATTTGATTTTTTTAAGGGGATACATTTATGAATAAGGGATAAATGTCAGCCTACACCAAGTGGTAAATGTATCTTGATAAGCAAAACAAACTCCAAACTTTCTGCATTAACAGATTCGAAGTTGTGCGTTACCAAATTACTCACATAAACATTGAATGCATGATTATGTAATTTTAGTTTTAAGTGGCACTGAACTTGTTCTCACGTGGAAATACTTATGTGTAGTACTCATCATTATTTACACTTAAAACTATCAATCTGAGAGACAGTTATGACTGAGCTGTCCTATCAACCGTTGAAGGCGTTCTGAAGCCTTGTCTCTAAAAATTAACTATTAACCCATGAGCCTACTCATTACTAATTACTGCATGGACCATACACTGGGTGTACAGTGTATTCTTATATCAAGTGACTGGTTTTTTCTCGGTAAGACTTCCGCCCGTATCCCCCCTAAAATTTAACGATGAGGGAAAAGACATATGTATATTCAGGTAATATGATTGGACTAGAAGACATAAAATAGGTTTTAACATGACATTGCGCATACAGACATTAAATTATCGGGTTAGGGTACGGGCAGAAGTCTTTCCCATTTCTTGTTTGTATGCAAATGTACTTATATTCAGTGGAAAGAACAGACAGGCTTCATGAAAGCCTTTTGGTAAACTTTACATGTTGTTATGCATAATTATACATATATACATAACTTAATATGACATAAGGTGGTTGTATTATTGGCTTTGATGTGGAGTGATCTATCGTTACAGTCTGAAAATTGAATATGGCATGAGAAAACACAGAACTGTTGACATACTGTGCCTTTAAAGGTACGACGATACAAAACATCATTGAAAATAAAGAATTGAAAAGATGCTTACTTGTGGCAGTTCCTACAATGATCATCATACTGAATATTGCCTTCATTTGTAATCTCTTCTCGAACTTTGTTTGTTGCCAGGAACAAATCAGTTAGGGTCTGAAGTACTTTTAACTTGTCACTTATTGGAACAAATGGAAAATCACTGGACTCCAAAGCTGGGAGAGCAGAACGATATTCATCATGACGATCACTATCCAAATATGCTCTTGCTAATTCCGACCATGTCATTCCATCGATGAAAAACAGTGACACATTTATGCTATCTTTCAAATCATGGGGTCCAAACACAGTGCTATTGCTTTCTTCTTCTCTCATTAGTGCCTTCAGCAGGCATATATGAATCTCTCCTATCAATGTACACTGCTCATCACTCAATAAAGCTGCACAGAAGTCTTCAAATGTGAAAGGGGACAACCTCAGTATAGTTCTGAAATGTCTAAGGACTTCAAAGATTCCAACAGTTTGACACAGGTATTCTGAAGATAAGATCAAATCATTAGAACTCGGTGGTAGAGTAAGAGTGGGTATTTCCCTGTCATCTGGTATATCTAGACTCCTGGGTCTTCTTGAAAATAATCTTCTCTTGCTGACTGAACTACTAATGGTGCTGATGCTTTCTTCACTGAAATCGCTATAAGAACCCTCATAGGTGTCATCAGAATCATTGTTGTCAAGATCGATAGTATCCAGGTCAGTAATGTCACTGCTTCGGTCTGCATCTATATCCACTGTTGACGATATATCATCATCATCTCCCAAGAAACTACTGATAAAACTTCTGCTTTTGACTGTAGAATCCCTGCCTCTTCCCCGGTCCGACCTGCCATTGCCTCTGGAATTGGGTATACCAAAGTAAGGTCCACTGACAGGTGTGCTTGATCGTGAGTTTGGGTCACTCGAAGTTGTAAAAGCTTTGGGTTTTCGTAGAAAATTTGTGCGATTACTTGACAAAGGGGTCTTTGGAGGACGGCCCCTCATGCGCCGTGATCGGGTCGCCATGGGTGCTCAATCCCGATGTTTTAGAGACCCAGAACTGTTACAAAGCCTAAGACACATGGATTATAGGTTGTACCTCAACATCGTTCGGTATATTCAGTGTCCATGTTGAAAATTTTTGGAAGCCGCCATTTTCCAAACGATGGTCACGTGACTGTCATGGCCTATCAAATGGAGCTCTAAAGTGAATTTTTGCGCTAACTGCAAATATAACAGCCTAATTCAAGAAAAAATATGAACTGTCTTATTTTTCAAATTGTAACTTTCCCTAATATGCACAGATTTATCAAAATGAACCTGTTACTTTCGCGATTACTTCAAAATTCGCATCTGAAAATCAAGATGACAAAAGTCGAACAAGCGTTTGAAAGAAACGATTTCATTGGCTATCAAATTTTCCTGTGTAGCGATTGTTTCCTGTCTGCGCTGCATTTCACCGGGATTAAGATAGTTTGATCTTTCTAAAATCGAAATACATCGTCGGTCAAATACGGGCGACCATATATTGAAAACGTGCATTGTAGAACAATAATTAATTTCGTGGTCAATGGGATAACGAATTATCCAATAAGAACAGGCGTTCCATGAGGTGCGTCGGTCGGGCACCTGTTGTTATGTTTTTCCAGTATATCAGTTACCTCCCTTATATACTCAGTCTGTGTGTGAAATAGACGCAATAAATGCGTATCTTTTTCGTGCTAAGGAACGAGAAAACGTGTGATTTCACATTATAAACTTCCTTTTGCATCAGCATGGCCACCGCGACAAATAAGCCGTGGACCGGCATGTACAAATTGGAGCCTGTTTATCCACCAGATTTCAAAGTAGAAGTTCCTAATGTCATGTACGCAGTCACTAATTACCAAACAGGAAATTGTCAGGTAAATGTTCATTTATTTTTTGCATGATTCTGGTGAACATTGCCTGTCGAACACAGTCACTGAGGAAGTGGGTTAGTATTACTTTTAGACCCTTTCCAAAGCAAACCTTGCACAAACAGGACACTCATAAAATCGGCTTGAACACACACATACGCTCATTTCACTAAATCATTAATTTGATTTCAAACATAGTGGCAGGGTATTTGTAATCCTTGTTTCTTGTTATGTCATGTTGCAAATTTATTAATTCATCAGAACTATAGCCTATTACCTACAGTGCTGTAGACCGATTCCAAATAAGAAATTGAAATGTTTTAATTTTACTGACATCTCTGGGGATGCTGAATTCAAAGGAAATGGGCTCCACAATGCACATTGCCAATGAACACATATTGCATGTAATCTGTAATGACAGTGCTCACAAATTGCAGGTGATCAGTGTTGACAATGTGTACTAATTGCAGGTGATCAGTGTTGACAATGTGTACTAATTGCAGGTGATCAGTGTTGACAATGTGTACTAATTGCAGGTGATCAGTGCTGACAATGCGTACTAATTGCAGGTGATCAGCGTTGATAATGCCCACCATTTGCAGGTGATTAATGTTGACAATGCTAACTAATTACTAGAGCTGGTTATCGTTACATTTTGTCAGATCGATAATTGCTAGTGTCAGATCGATAATCGATCGATTATAATCGTTTGGACGGTCATTTCATAGTCAAATACCTACGTTAGCGAACTAACTTCGGGGATGTTGTCAGCACATGTCAATTGTTAAAGCTAGCAAGTTACTTACATTTGCAGCGTCTTTGGATCATCAAGTATCCTATCGTCTTACGTTTCCGATTGTTATATGTTTTTGATCGGCCATTACAATTCCAGTTTATAGCGCGAAAATGCGATAAATCCATGAGAAGCATCCTGCAAAAGATTAATTTTAACTCAGGGATCCTTAATGCAATATCTACCTCATAATCAAATACACAAAAATCCTAAATCTTTACTCCAAAGATGCCATTAATGTTTCGTCTGCTTAGTTGACATCCCACCTTACAAGATCACGCTACTAGTCATGTGACCTCGCTGGTAGATTTATTTTCATGGCATGCCATTTTTTTAAAAACTTTTAGTTTATGTTGAAGGGTGAACAAAGACATTTCCTTAAGGTTGAAACACAAAAGTTAGTCTGGGAAGTATTTTAATTAACCACTGTAATGAAATTTCAAGAGAATTCATGAAACTGAAAATAGCTCTATTTTACCCGCCTTCCCTAAGTCACGTGTTTGTATGCAAATGCAACTCAAGGATTTCCCTCTTTCAGCCAATTAGAAAGTAGCTAACCTGTAATACCTGGGTCGTATTGGATGTTTTGCTGCATGATTGGACGAATGAGTTTTTCTATAAACCACTTACAACTCATAGTATTTCAATGAAAAAATAGGACACCCCAATCTTAATATATCTAGCATTGCCATTGGCTGACAGGGGAGGCATGCGTACTTGTGTACTACACAGCTTCAGTTTAAGAGGTAAACAAGCAATGATTATTTCCGATTATCTATCTGCAGTTTATTTGTAATCGACAATCGTTTATTTTGACTTAGATCGAATGATTAACCGATCCTATGATTAATCGCTCCAGCACTACTAATTATATGTTTGTAATTTCACTAACTGAAGGTGATCAGTGTTGATTGTGATATACCAATTGTGTTTTTTGTTTGTTTATTGAAACAGCTCGCCGAAACGAAACACGCCAAACTTTTGTTGAAAACTGACCTGCTAACTTTTAAGCAAAATTCTAGCAAAATACAAGCAAATTCTAGCATAAATCAAGCAAAAACGATGTTCAAAACTATCGTTGTGTGCAACTTGACTTTCATCTCGCTGTGTTTCACGTGCATCGCATTTTATTTTATTAGACTTAAAAATCGCTTGTTTCATTATAAGATGGAGTGCGACGAACTTCTCAAACAAATGTTGGATGATGATGATAATAATAATAAAAACGCACAAGCGAGAGACTGGTGGCGCTCGCGGTCAGCGGCAAAGCCAAACAATACTTGGGTCGTGGGGGTGACCACACATCCCGATAAAATTCACAAAATGCCAGCGGAAGAAACCGACAAGCTGTACGCAAGATACGAAGCCAGATTCGGCGCCGAAATGACGAAAACCATAGGGTCTGTCATAACGCAGGTTTACGCCGGCATAGCGTTGTACTTCCTTCCCATTCCGCCGACTTTACCTGTGCGAAGATCTCGAGAAAGATCCGTTCATCGACCACGCTTTGAGCGCCGTCAGCTGCGTGCTGTACCACAGATACGGCATGTTTTTAGCTCCGATGACCGCAGCGATCATCAAGGCAAAGCATTGTCATTTTATAGAAGAAAAAAATAATAATGATAATAATATGCAACATGGATGCGCACCCGGAGGAGAAAACGCCAACATCAACGGAGGAGGAAGCAACGACGACACCGATATGACAAGTCACCACAACCAAGAATCCTTAAAAAGTCGCCGCCGTTAGAAAAGGTGGTTTTGCCAAGCACCACAAAAATAATAATACTCCATGGATTGTTGCCGCCGTGGCAGCAACAGGATTAAGCGTGGTCGTCGTCGTTATGCTGATATATAATAATAACAAGCCACCCCCACCAACACAACAGCAGCAGACGACGCAATCACAGTTAGAAATAAATCCGCATGTTATGTTATAAAAAATAAATTAAAAAATATATATATATTATATATATACACACACGATGTCGTCTGAAGGAAAAACATTCGTCACCGATGCTTATCACGCCGCCATAGTTGCCGGACTAGGTTACGCTGGCTTAACGAAAATGGTTCTCAAACAGCCTACGATCAAACTCGATTTCAACGTGCAGGACATGGGCATGCTCGTCATGGACTTAGGGATGGCGATGGCCACCAAGGACATTCTCGTGAAATAAGGAATTATACCGGTAATATTACAATATTTAAAAAAAAGGAAAGAAATGGCTACGATCTCCATGATGGTCGGTGGTGCATTAGTCAACGCCCTTGCATTTTCAGGCAGCAATTATCTCTTCTCCAAATTACGAACGTCGAACGCGGCTGAAATGGAAGCGGAACGTAAACGTCACGATTTGGCCTTGGAGAAACTGCAAGCCGCGCAAGCCGAGTACGTAAAAACGTGTGCAGAGAATACAGTTCATCAACGACTAACTCTCACGCTAAAACCACGCCGTTCAAACGTTCAAGAATGCCGACGACGCCATGCGAGAATACTACCTGCTCACCGACAAACGGCTCGAACCTCTCGGCAACGAACCCACCCTCTCACAGTTTTACACACCTTCCACGGAACAGAAAGACCGGGAACTGATTTTCGTGGCGCTGGATCTAGCGGCGACCGTGTTGATCGTCAAACAATTAGACTAAAATATATTTATATATATAAAGATGGGAAGACGCGCACAGTATAACTGCAAATACGTGCTGCTAGGAAAAACCGAAACCTGCGGCAAAAAATGCACCACCGAATATTGCGGCATACACATGATGTCCATACGAAATGGTTTCGTGAATAACACGTGCGAAGTGTGCGGCGTTGGCGTGAAATGCCATTATCGTCTTTGCAAAGCCCACGGAGCAGACGTGGTACGAGGCCATCTCATCTACTTGACGAAAAGAGACTATCTCAAAGAACGCAACCGACTGCTCAGAATAAAAATCTTAACATGCATCATGAAAATCGCTTCTTCTTTTTTAAAGTTGGTTGAAAGTTTAACTATCCAACGTATTGATGGGGTTGCCAACATTTAACAGCGAGACATACTTCGCACACCAACAAACTACTAGAGATTTTGACTTCACAACCTAACATAGCGAACAACCTATTAGAGATTTGATTTCGCATCTGAATATAATTATTTTTTCATGTAGAAAAAGTTTTACCTGAAAATCTTGGAAGCCTCAAATTTCAACTCACGGTGAAAATGTCGCTGGACAAACAGCAGACGGACGGCACCACCGAGCAAGTCCAGCCTTACTTCAGAGGCAAGCAAGCAGTCGCGACTCAGCCTGAATCCATCGACGCATCCATCGACACCTCGTTTACAAAAATATGAGAATCCCTGGAACGCTACACGCACATGGGCTCGGGCTGGGTCGTGGACACGATCGACACGGTCTACCTGGACCTAGTGAACTACATACCGTTCAAAGGAGGAACGTACCTAGACTTGCCACCATACTACAAGAAAAAGCAAGCCATGGTCACCGTCAAAAACAAAGGCGATGATTGCATGAGGGTTGCGATCAGATCCGCGAAGTTTCTGGCCAAAGCACATTCAGACAGACTTTCAAGCTATCCCGAAGACGATGGGATCAACTGGGACGGCATAGACGAACCCACCCCCATCTCCCAGGTCACCAAAATCGAAAAACAGAACGACGACATAGCCATCAATATCTTCGGACACGA